CCCCTCTATATCTCCACCCCCCACCCCAGCCCCTTCACCCTGCCTGTAGCCCCTTCGCCACCCCTGGGGCTTTACGCTCGCTTTCGTCTTCCTTCCAGATTTTGGAAGCTGGAGGGTCTCAGCTTCATCTCTGCAAACTGGATGGAATATTCATGGCCCTTCCAGTGGAACCAGTTAACACCCTGCAAAGACAGAGATGAAACATGGGAGGTCACACATTCACTTCTCCTGCTGTCAGCCTTCACTGCTCTCGTTTCTGATTGCAGGCTGTTTTCTAACTTGGGAACAGAGGCACCACAAAGGAGAGGGGCTTTGGGAAGCGCAGGGCTCTGGCCGCTAGCACGCACAACGTGTACGAACCAACCCACGTGCTGTCCCCCAGAGCTGCCGCTCTTTGCCTGGCTTTCATGGCAGGAAGAACATTTTGTTCCACATATTGAAAGTTGCAGTTGTTCCCTGCACATTTGGGATATTCCCTTGGAAAAATCATAGAAAACCATAAATATTTCACATGCTGACATTAAATTCTTGTTTTGTGAGAAACTGCCCACATCTTTCCCTGTGATCTTTTGGTCTGGAGAGCAGGCTTGGTGGGTGCTCTGATGTCTGGCTAGCTGAATCACCAGACAGATCCATAATTGCAATTCCCCTTCTTCTAATGCGTTATGGAAGCCTTCAAACACCCAACTCACCTGACTGTGGCTGTTGTCACCATATCTGCCCATCAGATTGACCCGGTGACAATTCTTGTACCAGAATGCACCCTTGTATGACAAAGCACAGTTGGTGATGGCAGAATCGTTGTCCTTGTCAAAGGTGGAGAAGGACCTTCCGTTATGGTACGTCATGGAGTCGCCTGTATGGGGGAGACAAAAGAAAGAGCAAGGTCAGTGGCTTGCCTAGTTCAGGTTACATGGGAGGGACCGTTCCACAGAAAATCTTTGGACTGTACTGTGTGCCGTCTGTAAAGCCTGGCTGCATATCTAAGTTTTTAAAAATTGGCTTGTTTTAACACAGAAGGAAGTACACAATTTTTGTTGTGGGAGACAAGTCAGAAGATTCTTCCAGGTGGTCCCTAATCCACAGCTTATTAAGTGGGTCTTTTACACAGCTTGATTTCTGCCCTTCTTGCTGAAACCTGGATTTTGGCCCTGTACAGAAAGCAGTGTGGACAAACCAAGTCCAAAGAGACCTCCACAAGGAGTGAATCAAGGCCAAAGGAGTCTCCACACTTGGCTGGTCTATGTCTGCCTCCCACTGCCAGGGTCTGGGCACCCGTTTACAGATGGGTGCAAAGGAGCAGCCTCCAGTGTGTGCCTGAAGCAGAGCTCACATTCACACCTCAGTGTCTGTGTTGCTCCATCCATTAATCTTAGAGCTGAATGCTTAGGAAGAGGAGGTAGTAGGATTGAATGCTACTAGCTGTAGCAGCTACTACTGCTCTGCACCAGTGTGTTTCCCTTTAAACAGACATTAATTCTACTACGGCTGGCTATCCTTTGTCTGTATCCCTACAGGCCAGGCATAGAGTTCATGTGATGGTCACCGGGCAGAGTCCATACACACACACCTCTTGGTCTGTTTTATGCACCTGGCAGCGTGAAATTGTCTCCTTTTAAGACATCCTGTGGAGTTGGATTTATCTCTTAATCCTTTGAAGCCCTGAAGAGGACTCGAGAAGAGTTGCAGGGTTTGACCCAGTATGATTACAAAAGGCAGATAATTTGTTCAGCAAAACTACGAATTATGTTATAGCAGGACTTTGCTGCATGTTCCACTGACAAGCAATGATGCTGTGCCAAGTTATTATTAGCTGTATAAATGACAGTCAAGCATTGGCCAAATGAGATATATGGCTGTTAAATATACCTGTTTATACTCTGTCATAAGAATGCCATAAAATGTGGCACTGAAATGACTGGAGGATTTAAAACAGAAACATAAAATATATTGACATGTTCACATTTTCAAACACCTAACATGCAAGAGGTACCTGAAGCTGATCTGCAACATTCACACATTCACACAGTTACCTTGAGCCAACTGGGAGGAAATTGCAAATCAGAAGAAAAAAAAATATTTCATCTCACCTGCTGTGCCACTGTACCCGTCCACTCTTAGCCGGTATCTGCTCTTTGCGTCTCCAACGCTGAACCTGTCGTAGACAGCATAAGCTGTCTCCCCTTTGTCCTGCAGATCCACACGCAGCTCGTACTGACCCTGAGAAGTGATTTTGTGAAGGTTCTCCAGCCCTGTGGACATAAATGAACAATTCATTTGACTCCCCATGTTTATGTCTCTACCATCATATTACCCCATACAGGGGGTCATACTGGGCTGTATAGATACACCGGGGCATACACAGTGGTGAGGAAGGCGAGCTGTTTCAGCTGCAGGGTAATGTTAGCGCAAGCCAAATAGTTAAAAACAGGATGCCTGAGAGAACTCTTCCCTTCAAGTCACAGTTGCAGGGAAAAGCAATCACAGTTGTGCTGTGTGATTATCATTTTTATTTACAACCACATAAAATGTAGCGCAATCTTTGAAAATTTGGGGTTTACTTCTATTTTCCCCACTTTGCTTCTTTCAGTCGTATGCTTTTGTTGCTGGGGGTGTCCTAGGAGTACAGGAAGGAGGTTTGTGGTTACTTCTCAGGTTACCTGCTGGTTTCTTACAGAGCACCAGTGAGCATTGGTTTGGTACATTCGGTGACCCAAGAAGCACGACATCTATGAACTGCAACTGGAAAGACTGGCTTGGACGTGGCAATTTCAATCTCCCTCGCAGCATGCCGTCCCTAGCCTCCTTCGCCCAGACTATGTTCCCCTTTACAATACTCTTGCCAACTAAAGGGAGGCTTCAAAGGGGCTCCTAGTCTTTTGGGCTGCCTTTGCATTTTCTTTTTACAAAAGACAAATACTTGTCACTTACCTATCCAGAATTCATCCTTAAGATCTCCAAAACCAGCCACGTAAGCCTTCCAGTTCTTGTAGAAATCTTCCTTCCCGTTTTGACGCCGCAGGAACACCTACAACCACCGCATGCAAGCGTTACCGACAGACAGCCTCTGACAGAAAGGGCCCTAGCAAGGTGGTTTTTACAAATGCAGAGCTTGGCGTTGCTGCTCTCCCGCTTTTACCACCTCAAACAGCAGTCTCACTGCAATTACTGAATTATACCAAGACTGTTGAAGGCCCCTTGCTTTTTTTAAGTCTCTAGTTTCTCTATTGGGTTCCCAGGCTCCCCTGCATGATGTGGCCTTTGGGCTTTCAAAAAGCTTTTAAAAGCTCTCTGCTTTTTAAACAGCCCCTCACAGTTCTATATTTATGAGCCAAGACTTTCCATATCCCCTAGTCTCCTGCCCATGGATTTCTCCAGCTCCTTCATCTTTTCTGTGCCCTGGGTCCCTCTGTCATGTTCAGATTTGAGGATGTCAGTACAGAGAGCTGGCGTTTTTATTGCCATTCTTTTGTCATCTGGAGGGGGTGCATCCCTTATATAACAGCCTGGGAAGCCCAGCCGGCCACCACCATGTGGCTGCTGAACAAGCACTTTCTCTGGCCTGTGCTTTAACCCCCCTCACCGTCTCTAACATTCAAATAGAGTCAGGCTGCCCTCCTCTCACCTAATTAGCTATTTAGAAGGTATGTATCTGATCTAAGATGGTCATTTCAGCACCCCCTATAGCCAGTGGAGAGAGATCAGTGCTTTTCCGAGGTGCTGAAACCACCGATGTGACCCACCCTTTGGAGATACCTTTCCCTCCTTCAACTACAGAAAGAGCTGGTAACCTTGTTTTCTAGGCACCTAGGTGTCCTACCTAAGATAAAATTCCCCCAATTTATAGACAAGGCAGCCCTACTCTGATAATAGAGCACTATGAGGGATGCCATAGATGAGCAAGGAGGGTTACTCTTAGCACAGGCACAGGCAGACGCCCGTGAGGGTGGTGCAGGCCCTCTCCCTCTTACTCACAATCCATCCGCCCCCGTCCTCGCCCATGTCGCAGAAGACTTGCAGAGGCTGAGCCTTGTCCCCATTCAGGTAAATTGTGTAGAGCCCAGAGGTGGTTTCTCCATTAAGGAGAGCCTGGGAGCAGTCTTTAGGGTAAGGATAGAGAAGACCAGCTGCACAAAAAAAAGAAAGCAGTCCTTAAGAAATCAGCAATTGCATGGAACTTGTTGAATTCAGATGACTCATGAAAGTCTGTTGTGGGTCAATGGCACAGCCAGGTACAGAGCCCAGGAACAGGCTTGTAATTGCTATCCTGCATACAAAAGGTTCACAATGAATGGCAGACAAAGTAAATTTTTCTTTTGAATATGCTTTTGCACATCTGTCTATGCTTTTGGAAGTGCTGTGAGTGCCATAACTATTCCCTGCTACGATGGGAGTGCATCCTCGAGCTAAATATTTAAATGGCATGAGGTGCATTTACTGCAACTTTTGTGTAAAACCAAAACTACCAATCTGTGATTAGGTGACAGAAAAAGGAGAGGGAAATACAAAGACAGGACTAGAACCAAAAATAAATAAATTTGAAATAATTTGCTAGCAAGTACAATATTAAATATGTTATAAAACCAGGCTTTTAAAAAAACAAAGCAAACAATAACAGTGGAAACTACAGGGACATGTGAAGCATTTCTTTCAGACAAGCTAATAGCATTGTTGCAGGTAGAACAATTTCTACCCTCAAAAAAAGCTTTTATTTTTTTCCTTTTAAATTCTCTTAGCCTGTTAACGTTTTCAGCCAAAGGTCTAATTAAGCAATGTTCTATGTGTGTCCGTAGGAGAGTTTTTAACTGTGGCTGCTCACAGAGAGGCTGTTGCTCCCTTCCAGTGTGTTGCACATCCCTGCCTGTGCCTCAGCTACGGAGAATTTGCATCAGCTTTGGGATCTGGAGAAAAGCGGCTCTCTGCAGGGAGCTACTTCAGCGTCTCCCTCTCACTAAATAGCACACAAATGTATGTTTAGAATTAAAGCCAGGCTTAAGCATCTGCCTGAACAAGGCTGACACTGCGTTCACATGGGTGAAGGCACCTCATTCAGTCCCTGCTTATGGTCGATTTGTCAAATGTCACTTGAATACACCCAGACTTAATTCTTCTATTTCTGGTTGTGGATTGTCGTCTGTCAGTGGAGCTCATCCTGCTCCACACCAGGAGTGACTGTGAGCAGACTCGGGGCTATGTGACTGTTATTAGCAGCTCTGTGAGTCCCCGGGCTGAAGTTGGTACAAGTGGCAGAAGGGAGAGTGGAAACGGCTGAGGGCCCTGCTGGGTCTGAAAGGCTGGAAACCACGAAAAGGGAGACAAATGACAGGCAAGGTTTCACAGTTAATACTGAACAACTACTTTTTTTTTGAAGTCAGCTGTGAAGTGACCTTCAGAGAACCCAATCTTTTTTGCATTCAGCTCACTGGAGAGCTGTCCCGTAGAGCTGGAACAGACATACCGTGTGGCTTTGTGAAAACCAATCTCAGAAAGAGGAGGAAAAAACCTGCCCAGAAATTCATCTCCTCAGACCATGGAACTGATTTGTGTGTGTGTGTGTGTTTTGCTTCATTTCAATTTAAAATGCTGATTTGTTTTAACAGCTTGCTATGCATCAACACAGAGGTAAATCAGAGTGTCAGCCTGGCTTTTAAAGTGTAACGTTCCTTTCGATATTTTACACAGGAAAGGCAGGATGTTTCATCAGAGAGAGGACTAAGAGGTGATGTGGATGGATGTAAAGAAAAGAATTTCATCCTGCCAGTCCAGGGGAGGCAGATGACACTGCAGCTCAGGGGAAACAGGGGTTTTTGCACTGACAGTACAAGCAAATCAAGTGCATACTGACAATTGGATCAAAAATCTTCAATGAGGTTTGCATCTGTCTATTGCAGAGCTCTGCTGTATCCTGAGAGTAGTAACTTCTTTGTTATTTCAGCTGTGCAGGGGCTCTGAAGTCCTTACTTGTGGTGAAAACAGTCTGGATTGTTTTGCTCTTCAGTGATCTGTTCAGCGCATGGAGTTTCACCGTGTACTGAGTAGATGGGCTCAGCTCTGTCAGGCTGTAGGAAGTTGTCTCGGGGTTTAGGATGACTTCCTATGGGAGGAGAAATAATACAGGGAAATCTCAGGGAGAAAAACATAATGATAAGACCTGTTACAAATTTTGGCCTGTCACACTGGTTTTTGTGGTAATTATTTATGGTATTTTTAACCATCTAAATTATTTAATACAAAACTTCTATTCCTCTAAGATTTTTATCAAGATAATTTTCTTTAGAAGTTAGAGGAAAGTTGCCTGGAAATGAATGTTTACCATCGTAATGTATAAGCTGTGTGGTTTAAAAGCAAGTCAACATAAATTTTTACATGCCTTGAACGTACACATTGTATACGTGTTGTCTCTGTGAAACTCATGAAAAATTGAGGAGAATCACCCTTTAGGACAAGGAAGTATCATACTCCACTCCTGGAAAGGCTGGACTCTTTTTGTAACTTTAAAAGAGAGATTTTCAGCACACTTAGGGAATTTGCCTTCTTGAAAATCAGAACCCTTTCTGACTTACTAGGCTGGGCATCTAAAACTATCTGTCATCTTTGCTGGGATTCACCTCATTCATATTTAAGCATTTAGTGTCATCTAGCTATGTAGGAACATAATAAAATTACTAGAGATCAAGAGGCACTTTCAAAGATGATTCATCCTCCCTCAGGCACCCCATTTGCACAGGGATGGATTCTCCTGAGTTTAGAAAGGGAAATCCCATTCTTTGGGGTGTGTGAGTTTATTCCACGACACAGGTTTGCAATGACGTAAATTAGTTGCTTGTGCTTTTAGCTGTATTGTGGAGAGATGACTGTCAAAATTCAGGCTGCAGTTAAGCTTCTGTTTCAGCATATAATATAGGAAAGTACTTAAGCAGGTTGTAAATGCATTTGTGTTCCAACTGGCGCTGAAACAGGTACTTATATTTTACCATATTCAACGCAAGGCACATGGTTATGTTCTACTGCTGGACACCTCAGAGAACCTCTACTGCCCGGTTTTGAGGCACAGCCCTTCTGGTTTGGGTACAAGTGCTATACCTTGACTCTGCCATCAATGGACTCGTAGATCAGGAGATAACCAGTGACAGGAGCACGTGGAGGCCTCCAGGTTATCACAGCTGTTTCTGACTGAACCTCAGTGGCACTTAAGTCTCTTGGAGAGTCAAGTCCTAAAGGAGACAACAGATCAATTACACTCACATCTATGTGGAGTTTAGTACACAAGCTACCTTGTGGGCAGTATATAAAAACAGGCCAGAAAAGCAGACTTTTTCTCCCCAGAAATTTGAAATTAAAAAAATATTTCAACCCAAATTTTGTGATTAAAATGTAATTTTCCCATTGGAAATTTTAAAGTAAAGATATTTACTTTGTCTAAATTAAAATATTGGCTTGTCTCAGACACTTTAGTTTATAAGCAGTTGTACTGAAATGTCTTTTGAAACAAAATTGTGCCTTTCATTATTTTACATGATGACACTTCAGTATTTACATACTCCCAGGAAGAAAAATTTTGGTTCCAATGATGCCTCTGGTGAATAGGAAAACTTCTCATACTTGGTCTGGCTACAGCTTCCCTTCTCCACTGTAATTATAACACTGAGTTTGTATGGCTCAGCTCTTGGCTTTCTAGTTAACGTCCTGGGACAAGTCATGTAACGCAGTGGGGTGGGACATGGTACCTGTAGTAAACTGGGTGGAGAGGGTCTCACTCTTCTGCGGGCCCTTCAGCGCATGGACACTCAGTGTATACTCAGTTGCAGGTCGAAGGCCCTTCAGGTCATATTCCACAGTGTTTCCTGATACCATCTGAGTAACTTCTGGTTCTAAGAAGAAAACACAGAAGAGAACAGGTCCCAGCATTATTCAGACACGTCATGATGTACTCAACTCCATGCTCCACTCAGTGATTACTTTTTTTTACTAGCTGGGAGCAAGTGCAAAATAGTAAAAGCCCAGAGCCCACCTCTCTGCTTACGCCGACGCTGAATCTGAATTGACACCAGAGTCCTTTATCTAAAAGTATTAGCACTCTCTAGTGTTCATACGGATTATAGCACCAACTTTTCTTTCCAAGAATCTGTTCTCTTGGTTCATGTCTGAATTGCGAACGCTTAACTAAAACGATCATTTTTAAAATGCTTCCAGCGAGGTGCCTTCTTCAAATAACAGCCCCCACCACCCTCCTGGACTCACACTGCTGCACCCACTTCTGAGCATCTCCCGAGAGCCGTAGTACTGTCAGCTCCCTGACCCTTCACTAACTCCTCTTACCATCCTCAGAAGCATAGGAGACAACATAATTATCCACAGCAGCAATTGCTGGCTGCCAGGTTGCCAGAGCATCAGAGTCTGTGATGTTCACCACTATGAGGCCTGACGGGCTGTCCAGAGCTGAAAGAAAGAGAATAACAGACTGAAGGAATCTGACAAACATTCTCGGCTCTGTGCAATGCTCTGTTGTAAATATATGATATAAAATGTGCAAACACTGCTGCTTGATGCAACTTTTATGATCCCCTCTGGTATAGGGGAGCTCGGCAGAAAAGATGCCAGTGCCTATGAAGAAACATCAAATGCCTCCACCCGAAAGGGAGGTCAATGTGTGAAAAGATTAAACCCTGGGAACAGACATAGCTATGTTCTCAGATCAGTCTTGATATCATCAATCTTAACGGCTCTGTCAGAGCGGACATATTTCTCTCAACATGCTCAAATCTGGACTGCTCTTTGGAGCAAACTCAGGAGACAGTGCTGGGAAAAATAACTAAAGTGACAGCAACTGACAGCCACTGTGACCTTCCACCAGTTTGCCCTGCATGCTTAAAAATAAACCCATCGAACAGCCAGCCAACCATCCAAAATCCCCACACGTCCTGCCTTGCTTCCTCTTGAGACTCTATTTTGCACATAGTTTTACGGTTTTCCTGAATTGGGATGGGTATCTGCCTCCAGTACAGCTGGAACAAGCTATAGATTTCATGTTATTATCCAATATTCATCATCTTGTTCCTTGCCTCAGTACTCTGAATGCTTGTAAGCCCCCAAAAAAGAGAATGAATAAACGAGACTGCAGGGAGGGGTCAGCAGGAGTGTAGTGATATTTAAAGATTTGAAGAAAGAATTCAAAGTACTGAAGAAAATCCAGGAGAGAGTGGTTTTATGCTTAGAACACAGCCTGGAACCTGAGAGAAGTGCAGTTGGAGCCCACAATAGGAACTGGTCTGAACTGCTTAGCTGACCTGTCCCTTTGCTCCCTCAGCTATAAAATGGTATTAATTAAACTTCTGGGGTTTTTCTAATGCATTAGGACTGTATACACATTAACTGCCTCTGTCTCATTGCAATTTCGTTCAGTGCTTAGAAAATAGGAGCTGGATCAAGCTTACAAGTTCTGTACTCATCTGAAATACAAAGACACAAAGGAAGAGTGGGCAAAAGTCTTCCTCAGCTGGTCTGCAGCTCCAGTTCCCGAGTCTCTCCTACAGCACAGACAATGTGTTTGAAAACTTGCTGTTTTCTCTTTATATATTACCTGTTTTCAGAGTGCCAGAGACAGGTTCACTTTCTTCAAAGCCTTTCACAGAGATGATACTAACATAGTAGTCTACACCTGGGACTAACTTCACCAACTTGGTCCTTGTCTGGCTTCCATCGACTGTAACAACATTTGGAGTACCTAGGATGAAGCCAAATGCCAAGGGATCAGTGGCAAAATACTCCAGTAAATGCTTGAAGGATGTGTTTCAAGTTAAAGACATTATGACCAACATGGATGTACTTGTACAGGAGGAGGTGAATTTTCCCCAGTTAGTTGCAATCAGCGATGTCAAAGGGCAGCCTCAGAAAAAATTCTTGCTGCCATGACACCTAAATCTAAGACATTGGTTTGTATTCGTTCCCCATGGTATGCCAACAGTAAGAAAAAAATAACTTTTCTGTTCAGAAAAACAGAATTTTACAAATGAGATGTAAAATGAAAACACAGCCCTCTCTACATGGGAGTTCATACACCTGCAAGGGCAGGACTTGCAGTTTATATCTGCTTTGTGTCTGGTGAGGGCTGGAAGTTTCTCCTTCATCCATCTCATTTCAAATAAAGATACAGCATGTGTTATTTTAAGGAGCGCTGCATGTGTGGGTGAGGAGTTAGGGCGCATTATTGTTTAAAATTCTGGGTTTATTCCAGGAAAGCACTTAGACAAGTGCCTAACTTTATGATTGTGGATTGCTCCTTTTCTTCTGTGGGATCACTATATATTTAAAATTGCATGAGTGCTTGCATACTACATTGTTTAAAGGCCTATATCTTTATGTCTCTTAGTCAATAGCATGTCTTTTATGGTCCTGATGTCTGTAGTGGTTGCTCTTTAGCTGTTTCCTTCCCAAGATGTCCCTAAGTTATGCTAAAAATCTGTTTAAGTATAGTAAGCTTTTTAAGCTGAACACTAAACCAGAGATATAACAAATGGAATGAAACAACATTGTGGAGTTCTAAGAAAAATCACTGCCTTGGAAAACTATTATAACTATGGATTACGATTATTATTTCCAAGGGCCATCTTTTCAAATATGCTTAGCTCATAAAGTGCCTACAAAATAATGAGACAGTTCGAAATAAATCCTTACTTAGGAGCCTCAGCAGAAACAGAGATCTTTGTGAAAGTGCCCTATCAGGGGTACAACCATTCCACCATCTAGCTCTGAGCTCCCTTACAAGTCTTATCCATGGGATGTGGGACACTATGTTTAGAAAGAAGTTGGCTACTGGGACCATATATATGCACACCCACGTTCCTGGTCAGCAGTTTGAAGAAAAAAAGAAGAGACAATCTGTGTAAGATCATCTGAGAGATGGATATCAGCACAATAAACTTTTTCTGCTCTCCCTTTTACCATCTTCCTCCCTGTCCCTCCTCGCAGTTACTCACCTCCAGTGACAGGGAGGTAGGAGATCCGGTAGCTCTCCACGCGGGTGCGAGGGGGTGTCCAGCTCACTATAGCAGAGTTTTCCGTGATGTCGGAGAAAGAAATTCCCTTGGGAGATCCAACAACTGTCAGCAGAGAATAGAGAACAAACACACCGCACAGGAAGAAAAAGTAAATAATTTGTTTATGAGTCCTTTGTGTTGGAACAGTGATTTGCATTATCCCTCTACCCCACGAGCTCATGCTACCAATATTCTGTCCTAAACAACACTAATGCAGGGAGTATCAAACAGGTTTATTACATACTGACAGCAACAAACTATTTGGTTTAAATTTTCCTTTTTCAGTAACATTACAGTAGTGCATAGCTTAAAAATACCCCAGACATGTATCTACGTATCATATACGTAGAAGTTAACAGAGACTTCAGTGTATAGAAAAGTATGGAGAAATACTTACGGGAATGCCATTCTATTACCCAGGAATCACTGCATTTATAATTTTTACTAGCCCAGTTTCATTTGGGTGACTTTTAGACTTTCCATTGAGTCTCAGAGCTCTATCTGTGACACACAACAATGGCAGCCCTTAGCAGTGGAGAGATCTCCCTGAGCATAAAGTTTCTACTATAAGATGCCTAAACAAGACCTGGACCCAGGTGCACAAGTTCATCAGGGGTCCATCCTCTTAAGCAACTTCTCTTGGCTTCCAACTAAAAGTGACATGATTTTCTTCTTGGAATATCTATCTGAGACCAGGGTTCTTCTTAGGTACTTTCAAGCACATCCACCCAGAGGACGTTCAAGTACAACTATCATGAGGAAGGCACTTGTGGTTCCACTGCAGCTCTTTATCATACAATCCAGCCTTTCCCTGTATAAACCTCAGCGCCATGTTTGCCCATGTGAATCTGACCAGTAAGCTGGGCAAACAAAGCCCAAGTTTTGCCAAAACCACCCAGTCTTAAGATGCAAACCAACACGTATCTGAAACATTCCAGTTTAAAGCTTAATCAAGCTACTGCAAAATAAGCATGGAAAGGGCTTCTGGAAGGACATGGTAAAGAGACCTGCCACTTCAAAGTTTACTTTGAGCCTCTCACTTCCAATTTGCTTTTTTGACTGTAACCAAAACAACCCTGACACATGTTGAGAAAATAAACAGCCCACACAGAGTACGCCATTAGCACAAAGAGGAGAGATACCAAACATCAGCCTCATTAAGAGTGGTGGAGACAGGCTAAGGGCAAGGGAAGGCGGGCAAGAGGAGAAAAAAACTGACTGTGCTTGAAATAGCTTGGAAAGAACGTATCTGCGGGAAAGAAGTCAGAGGGCCATTTGTTCCGTGTGTCCCCAAAGCTCTAGCAGCAATGCACTAAATCAACTGAAAGGCCAGGAAAGAAAAACAACTGAGCTCTCAAGAGAAATGTAAATTTCTCTGGAGCTCACTAGACATGTTGTGTTTGTGGGGTTTGCTCAAATGGAAAATCCAAAAAAAGAAAGAAAAGAATCAAAGATAATGAAGAAAGCAAGGTGGGGATAGTAAAGCTACATGGCACACAAAGTTGATTTAGGTACAGTCTGAAGGAAACAAAAGAGCATAAAGAACCCTGGGAAAGAGAGAGAAGTGAAAATCACATTGATTTTGCTTCACATTGTAGGTGTCTTTAGTGACCGATGGAAAGTGCTAGTGATGACTCTGGAGAGCAGAGACGCAGTTTTCACACATATGGGGAATTCCAGCCTTTCCCAGAAAATAAAGCACGCAATGCATCCCCCTTGGACTGTGCTATGCACACTGCCATGGGCTTCATGCTTGTGTTCTGCACCAGGTGAACTGCATAACAAATAGTAGTAAGAAGAGCATTGACTCTTTGAGAGTTCCACATCCCCAAGTACCTCAACTGTGGCTACTTTCCTGGGAGCAAACCTGGCGAAGAAGGTATAATGGACCATCAGAGCAAGCACCAGTCCTGGAATGAGTCCCAGAGATGTGAGAGAGTGGTACCTTTGAGCATAGGGAAATTAAAAAGGAGCAAATGAAACCATCTTCTTGAGCTACCTGAAAGCCAGAACTAAGCAGGCATAAAAAAAGGCCAGCGTGCTTCTGTCTTGTCATCATAAAAAACCTCAGTTCATCTGTTGGGTAGATATAGATAATTAGCATTCTCCTCCAGCATCATTCCCCATTATCTATACAAGAGATGGAGAACTTTTCTGTGAGATTGCTCAAGCACCCATGATACCTGAGTAGCCACTCTTCTTTGGGGATGTTTTTTGCTAAAAAAACCCACCCTGTTCTTTCATTGCTAACAGACTATAGGAGTTTGTCCACTGGCTTTCTTCTCCTGAGCAACAGGAAGCATCAGGTTGCATTTATGATGCATAAAGAGCATGTGAAGTGTTTTGTGATCCTTTCAGACGAAAAATGCTGTCACAGTGTGGCAAAACACCATTAGAAGAAGAGGGAAGTAGCCGCGTGAGGCCCACACTTGCCACCAAGGATATTTTGTGGCACACAGCTGTGTCATGGTCCCCCGGTGAGGGCTGAATTGCAGCTTAGCAGACATTGTACAGATGGATTTCCAAAAGGCACCAACTGTTCCTCTGAGAGCAGCAGTGGACAGCCTCCCTTGTGCCAGCTTTAGACACTGCAGATCTGTATGATGCTGCCTTGAACTACAGTGATTTTATAATGGATATTTTCTATCACAGCTGAATTGATGAGGGTAAAATGACAGACAAATGCAGAGGGTAGGGAGTGTGGGTGCCATCATCACCCCAAAGAGGACAACTTTTTAACAACATTATCAACAGCAGTTCTGGGGGAAAACTCTGGCTGTTCACTTGCACATACAAGTGAGTAATGGAGGAAGAACTACTTGTGATGGGTGTGGGAGGATAGAACTTTATCATCAACTCCCAAGCCCAGCAGTTTCACACCACACTCCTGCTGTGATGGGAGCAAGGGAGATCATCTCAGCCTCTGGGGAAATTACCAGCTCCAGGACCAACACAAGCTACATGGAGAAAGTGGCAAATACGAGTCCTGCCCTACTCATCCTTTCCACATCCAAAGCCCGTGGCTGTCACTAGATCAACTGCCTTGCTGACTTCTTAAAAGAGAAAGAAGGAAAGGAAACCACAGAGGAGGACAAGGCAGCAAAAGGTGCACACTGCGAGATCTTTCCTCCCACTCCTTCCTCGTGGTGGGTGGGTGGTTTGCTGTACAGACCCTCAGAGAGGATTGCTTGGCAATGCTTAAACCAGACTCCCTTAACTGCACCGGTTACACCAGTTGAGGACCTGATCCCTGAAGACTACATTTGCGTATGCAAGGGTATGTGCCCAGGTAGGGAAGAAGGGGGAAGCTGTGAGCGATAAATACAGATAGGGATTTGCAATCAAGAGTCTTTTTTTGCCTTCATTTCCATGGTAGTGTTTGGTTTAGGCTTGCTGGTCTGTTTGCTAGCTTTGTTCCAACTGTTACTTTACTATCTCCTCTACTAAAGCTAAAGACTTTCTAGCTAATTTATTCCTTACTCACTCGTAACTTGTACGCAGGCCAGAATAAAGAAAGGCTGACTATAAGCCTGTCTGAGCTGCCCCCTTCATGGATAGAAATGTTTCTTTGCAACCAGACTGGAAATGCTATAAATATACATATGTTTGTGTAATAATAAACTCCTAAAAAAGAAATCAGTTAGATGCCTCGGAGGCCCAGCTACCCAATGTGGTGTAACCTGCAGTCTGAATTATTTAGCTGGATTTTTGTGGTTCCAGCTCCATTGTCAATTATCCACGGGCTGTTTACATCTGACAAACATCTTTCGGGCTGTTGGCTTCAGTAGGTGATGAGCTAAATCTCCCTGAAAGAACTGAGTAAGAATGTACTCATGAGGAAAATGGTAACTCTTAGTGGTTTACCATAAATATCCTCAAAGTTAGTGAAAATGGAGACATGCTGCTAACAAGTGCAGTTGACTTTAAACATCCCTTTCCATTATGAGTCAACCCGCAGTGGCTTGTGATGGATGGATGTTCTGCTTCATGTAAATGTCTGGATGAGTGGATACATGCCCTTGCTGTTTATTCGAGGGATGTGATGGCAATCAGTGGAGCTGGTCAGAAATGTGCCTTTCCATGCTAACAACTGGCACCACAGACATTAAGGTGAATCATGAGGCCATGCTATTTCAGGAAAAGCTGTTCAGTGCTTAGTTACTGTTGTCGCTTTTCTGTGCATTGTCTGGAGTGCACTGCTACAGCTGAGCAAATGCTTCTTTTATGAATTTCCTCCCACACTGATCTTACCTGTCCCCTTCTCATTCCCCTCCTCACAGAATTAGATTTATTTGAAATTATTAAGCTTTCATATCAGCAAGCTCAAAATTTTTAAAGAAAGAATCTGGGTCACAGGACATTACTTCATTTGCTTTGGATTTGAATATGCTTCAAAATGAAACCATGATTTGGAGGGGGGAAAAATTGAAAAGCTTCATTCAAATGGGCCAAATTGAAACACTTCAAATTACAAACCTTTTTTTGTTTGAATTAATCTCAGGAATTCAACTTAAGCCTCCAGAACTTTTTACTTGACTAATATCTGCTTATTTTCATATAAAAATCATGTAAGAAAAAATATTCCAGTTACAAATAGCAAAAACTTCCTCCTTCTCCCTGGCACTGCGAAAATGAGGCTCTGTTCTGGTGAAGAATTTTCAGAAACATATATAGGTTTAGGCTAACTTCAGACAGCATCATTTGCAGTTATGTTTACAATGTTTCTGCATTAGTGTAAGACTATGAAAGGCAAGAACTCCAGCTTTGTGGAACTGGCGTGCGTGCTGCAATTAAGGATTAAGGTCTTGGTATTTTTAAAACAAAATGGCATGAACTGGCAGCCATACCTGCATGTTTGCTTCTGGATTATTTTACCTAAGTAAGTCACTAAGCTAATTTACATGAGAATTTTTGATGTGAGAATATAAAGCAACTTCTGCTGAGGGAGTTCAAAGCTTCAATTGTGCAAGAATTATTGATCATGTGTTGCTCCTGATAAGATCAGTCTAAGTTAATGGTGCTTATTCCTTAGCTCATCAAGCCGTAAATAAACTCAATAGCTCTTATAAATTAATGTTGTCGTACCTCTTTTCTAGGAAGGTAAATTGTTGTGGAGTGGTGATATGTAATTAGTCTTAGGAAATCACTGAAAAAGGCTGTTAGAGAGACAATATTTCTTGGCTCTCAAAGCCAGTGCTTTAATTGCTAGACTCTGCTGCCTAATTCCAGATCATGAAAGTAATTAAATAAAACTACATTAAATAGACAGTGATGAAGCTAAGGAATCTGAGATAATAGATTATAAATAACTACACGCCGTTGAACTAGTAACTTGGGTAAGGGGCATGCAGGAGACCATTTGAACACCTCAGGAACAGCCCAAGCTGGTGATGAAAAGGAGAGGTGCTGAAGGAAACAGGCAAGAACACGTTATGCCTTTCCTACTGCAAAGACAATACCTGTGGTTGCTACTGCATTTACGGGTTGCGAACGCCGTCCACTGCTAACGCCATAGAGCTCAATTTCATATTCAGTACCCTCTTTCAGCCCTGTTATATCCTGGGTGCGCTCATGGCCTGGTACTATTAGTTCCAGTGGATCAGATTTCCTTTTCGTATCCCTGATTTTTAGCACAAAACTGTCGAAAACCCCATCATCTGCAGTCCAGGACAGACGGAAGCCATCTGGAGTAGCATCTGAAACCAGAAGGTTGTCGACCTCGGGTTCTGCTTCTAAAAAAAGAAGATAGCAGTAGGGAAAAGAAATGATTTTTTAATCAGTTCATTAGAGACCTGCCTGAGGTCTGGATATAGCATACTGCAAGAATCCAACCACAGTTCAAAGAAAGGGAAACAATCTGCCAGCTATTGGGAAAAAAAAAAAAAAGAAGAACATTAGCGTTAATCACATATATGTGAGTGTGTGCAGGCCCATTCAAACTTTCACTCCTTAACAGCAAATCCACCGCATGGACATACACCGTTTGCTTCTGACATGCAAAGTTACACATGCTAATAGTAAGTGTCATGTGCATTTCTCCCTTGCTACCTATGTGAAACCTTTATGTACGACAAAAACAAGCTCTTGTTATAGAACTGCAGGCATGCCTGTAATATTGTCAAGTCTCTCTCTGTTAGGAGGACAACATAGAAGCCACTTGAAAGAATCTTTTTCTTCATGCAAAACCTTTACTTCATGCACTTCTTGTGCTGCTTCCGATCAGATGAATCCTTTACTTCGATATTAAACAAATGCTGAAGCAGCAAAGGGGAATCATGAAAATTCATATCCTTTAAACAGCACACTTAAATCCAAATGTAAGACCTACTGTCTTTAGTGAAAGAACCCACTCGAGAGGATCTCAGGAGCTGTAAGTTATTAATTACCTGCAAAACATCTTTAGCTCAGTGTGATCAGGCATCACTACCTAGAGAAATGCCACTGGAGTGGTTATATCTTACAGCACCTCCAATGCACTTCTTTCTTCCACAGAAAGACGTTCCTATTTATTTTCTCGCAAACCTCCAATCAGGTAACCCCCAGCTTTACTGCTGCAGAGTCAGCAACATGCAAACGACACTTGATGGCTATGGGGCTAGAGGATCAGTCGGCAATGATTTTTCAAGAAAGCTCAAATGCTGCTGGGAAATGGCAGCAATGATGAGGTTGAAAATATGAGCTAAGGCTTTCTGGAGAGAGATGCCAACTTTATGGGTGGCAATGATAGCACTCAATGGTCTGTAGGTGGAACCCACACACAGAGTAAGAGAAAGGAGGCCATGGGCAAGAAATCCATGACTCTTTCTGAAGGTCCTGACAGTTGGCAAGTCGGAGAATGGTGATGTGCCCAGCAGCTGTTAACAAGATGAGTTCCTGCATGCAGCCATTTTTCTTTAAAGACTTCAGTTAGAAGTACCTGCATGACCATGTCAGAAACTTTCAGCCCTCAACCCACGTCATGCACCTCTACACGCTCCCTTGTAAAGACAAAAGGGAAACATCAAGTTAAAAGGAACAGAGTTTCATTGGTGAATCTATCAGTCATGAGGAGTTATGTGTAGCCACGATGCAGAAAAGGATGCAAAAGTCAAGGTTTGCTTTGCAAATGGATTGCATAAAACATCTTCCATGTGAGAAGAAAAGCAAGAAAGAAAAGGTGGAAGGGAAAAATTTGTTCACATTAAAATACCTGTAACAGCCACAGTGCTTAGGGGCTTTGTTTGGTGCCCCTTGGCAAAACCATAAAGCATAACCTCATAGCCAATGCCAGTAATAAGGCCTTTAAGCTTCAGTTGCCGCTGGGCTCCTGTAAGGAGGAACTCCTGTGGGTCCAGCAGCTTGCCAGAATCCACCACGACTACTAGAAAGCTGTCAAAGGCATTCTCCGATGCCATCCACGACACTGTGAACCCATAAGGGTTAATATCAGAGACAGTTAGGTTTTCCAGTGGGGGCATGGCCTCTAAAAGAAGGGAAGGTGCAAAAACACACAAAAAAAGAAGCGAAAAACATTGCAAATTAGAACGTGTCACAGATTCCACCAAATATAAATCACATTTTTCCCCAAAGAATGGATTTAACAGAAGTGCATAGCCAGGACCACAAGGCTAGGATTTTCAATGAAGCCTTCAGAAGTTAGATGCTCAAGCCTTAATTTTTATCAAGGGTGTCTCAGCACCTCATCTCACAAGCTCCACTGAAATTCCTTCCAAGCTCACCGTGTAAGCACATTTCTTCTGTTACACGTGCACTGTAAAACACTTATAACCAAAACTGTTTTAGAAATACTATGCATAAAGCTTTCATTTCCTTCCATTTCTATCCACCACCTGTGCTTTAGGGACAAGCCTCAACTTTGGCCTTCACAATTCCTGTACTTTGCATCTTTACCTCTCTACTTCACATGAGTATCTCCAGCTTTTCTTTTCAGTGGTGGAGGGGTCAGAAATGCCAGAAGGACTGCCAGAAGCAGGACACTGATCAATCAGGGTCATAGCCAGTGCAAGTACTAAATACTTGCAAGATTGTTTTTTTGTGGGGGATAGGGGAGAAGCCAGAGTTTGCACTGGCAAAGGGCAGGGGCCGATGACTGCAGAACAGAGCAGTAATCTGTCCAAAGAGTTTCACAGGCAGCTGCTAGTGCGGTATGTTGACAACTTAAAGAAATTCCAGTGAGGAGTCTCTTTTTTTTTCGCATCAGCACGACATTTGCCAAAGTTCAAGTCCTCAAAACTTTCCCACCAAGTCTCTGAAAAAAAAGGCGAATTTTTCACAAGATTGTTTCTCAGTGTATTTCACTCACTCAAAATCTGACAAGTCAAATCGGAAGATCAACTGGCTCAGCTAATCCCTGGCCTTGATCCTGGATCCTAGGCATCGCTAGTATTTCTCTAAATTATTTGACAAACCTTGCTTTGTTGGCTCAGGACCTAACTCATCTGATCTTCCAATCACTAAAATTCCACTCATTTAAGAAAATACCAGTTAGTTAAACACAGAACTTTCTCTGGGAAAGGGTTTTGGGTTTGGCTTTGACATTTTGCAACTGTGAAACCGATGTTCTGTTAAAATTTGGCATAAAAACTCCCTCCTGAAGTTTTATAAATTGGAAGTCCTTATGTTTTGATGTTTACACATTTGGGTGCCAGAGATTCAGCTCGAGTTTACTCAATTTGGAGACATTTTTGCAGCTTGCTTGCTTCTAATCAAAGATTCAGATTTTGGTTTGGTCTCTGGGAGGGTAGGTAAACAAATTAAGAGCCCAAAATGTTGAAATTATTTTCCTGGGATAAGTGTTGAGTGACATCAACACTCCAAACCCAGCAGGTTTATGTGAACTGCTGGCACATCCTCGTGTAGAGAGTGCCACACGTTTACCTAGCTGTGGGAAGCTTCCTCTCGAAAAACCAATGTCCATAGTTTATTTTCAGAAAGGAAGCATTTGTGCTGTGGTGAAGCAAAAGAGCAGGGGTTTTGAAAGCAGAGTGGCTCACTTCTGACTATCACGGACTGAATGCCATCAGGGGGCAGATCAGAGCTGGTGCAAAATGCAACCATTTGCTTTAAGGAAAATTATCATGGACATTGACTTTCACAGTAGCAGCCCAGATGCTGTGAGGGATGCTGCTACTGCAACTAGTGATTCCACTGCATGTACATGAAGAGAGGAGAAAAAGAAAAGGGCCACCGTTTCTCCATTAATCCTATTTAAGGCATCCAGATGTCTATGTGACATAACCCTAGTAGCACATATCGGCCACATAACACACAGGAGGTGAAGTCTGTGGCATTTATTTGATCACCTAGGACGTACGTGTTGTACAATAGATCCCAGTCAAAATCTGACCAAAATATTCAGACATAAGGGATTTGTTGAGGCGACATCACAGGACAGGAGGTGTTCTAAAATCCAGTCCCTGCTGGATCCTTCAGATGCAACTACTGAGTACTAGGCAAATTTCCCCCTCAAATTTCAGGAGTTAAAAAAGTTTATAGACATGGGAGAAAGACTCCAGAGGGCTCTCAACTCACTTTAAACTAGTACTCCTCCTAGAAATTGTTTTGAAGATCAACATGACTGGTCTGACCCATCCTTGCACCAAGTTTGCAAACAAACCCACTGTTGCTGGACAAGATATTCAGTGCTGTAGAGAGTCTGGTTTTTTAATCCATGACGGAATACATATTTTTATAAGCCAATAAATACACTCCAAACCTTTAAGCAGGTACCTGTCATGACAAAAGCAGTGAGGGGCTCTGTGTGAACACCTGCATTGGTGGTCCCCTTAATGTTAATGTCATAGCCAGTGTAATCTAGCAGGCCTGAGATGTGAGCGCTGCGAGCACCTCCCGACACCGTAAGCTCCTGGGGTTCATGTGCTGCATAGGAATCTCTAATGTGTATAACAAACTTGGCAAAAGGCCCATCTCTTGTGGTCCACGAGAGGTTGAAGCTGTCGGGGGTAACATTTGTGAGTGTGAGCGTGCCCAGCTGTGGCTCAGCCTCTGAAGGAGAAAGGAACACAGGTGAAGAGATAGCATTACTCTGGGGGCTGGGGGAATTAGCAGCGGAGGTTTATAGACGCTTAAAGATAAGGCTGGGCATTTTAGCCTTCTTTTGCAGTCATTGAAAGAAAAAAAAAAGGAGCATTGCAAGAGCAATTTTGTAAGGTTTTGGAAAGAAGCCATTGAAATTAGTGCTGACTTTTAATTTAGTTTTTAGTTCAATTTTTTAAAATAAATTAAATTTTCCTAATGAAATGTGGGCCTGATTTACAGAACCAATAACAGCATACAGTCCTGTGGTGAAACCGCAGAAATTGCAGGAACTCTGCATTGGGAATTTGATGGGAATACCAACCCACAGCAACTCCAAAGTAGATAAAATAGGATCCAGGCAGGAATTAGCTGAGTCCAAAACAGACATCCCTGAAATTCCGGTTCAGCTTCTGTTTAGTGTTTCTGTTGCCTGGACTTGGTAGATACTTTTAATTTTTGGACCCTGAAGTTTACGAGGGGTTTCAATCCTAACGATGACTATCTCAGCACTAATCTCAGGCAAAACCTCCCTGGACTCCACAGGTAAGGTGTTCTTCATCCTCTGATTAGGCACAATCAGAGAATATCTAATAGACTGAACAAAAAAACCCCACAATACTGCTGTTGCTCTCCTTTCTGACTGTTCAGTTGTCAGGGCACTTCCTTAAGAAGCAAAGGCTTTCCTTTTCCGCTAGAGGAAATTCAAAATGACATCTCTCCCCTACCAGGGGAGAAACTTGGCCTTCAGGCTATGGGAGGGGGAGAGCTCCTTACCCATCCTGTTTTAAAGCTATTCCATTTTGCATAAAACCATTAAAAGATTCATTAGAGCACAGAGAAAGCACAAACATGACCCAGTAATCAGGTGGTCAGACAATCTTGTGTTTGCTTTCAGGGCTGATTTTCAATTTTTTTCTCTTGCCAATTGAGTATAAACCAAGAACACCTTGGGAAATGCAGCCAGTGAGATACAGGAAAATAACTGTGTAAGTGATTCATGCTGGGAGAAAAGTAAGACAGATGTATCCCACTGACAAAGAAAACAGTGAAAGGATGAAATCCTTTTCTTAACTAAAACAAGAACTGCTGCAAGATGTTCCAACTTTTACTCCCGTCCCTCATTGCAAGACTTTTAGATAATAGCCCACCACCTTCTCTGGAATTGTGTAGGAACAGGTGAATCCAAGTGGCCCCAATTAAGGACACATGCTGTTGTCATGCTGTCAACCAGTGAACGTCAATGCCTTCACGGCTGACAGTGAAGATGTCACCATGTAAGCATGGTACTTCCAAAGACAGGGGAGGAGATGAGAAAATATCCACAAAGCAAACAGGCTTGGGTGGAGAACCCAGTGAAACCAAGCATGGAGCCATCAGCCCCACATGCAGGTCAGAGAGGGCAAACTGATCCTTTCCAATCTCATCCTGAAATGGCCACATTCCTTCACATGCCACTTGCATCCCGTCAGGCACATTCACGTCATGACACTCAGACGCTGAAGAACACTACATGCAGAATAAGTTGAAAGTCTTAGTGATCTCCTGCCATCCTGGAATCACCATCGCCATAGGAAAAGCTCTGACATCCAGTGAAACAAGACAGGTCTTAGAGCCTCAAAGGTAGCAATGCAAGTGATAGAGTAGTGGGCTGACCATCAAGAAAGGGCAAACTTGCTTTTTGAGCCCTGCTTTCTGCTGGGAACACATAAAAATACTAGGCAGAGAAGAACAGACCACTCCATGCAGTTTTGGTTGGTCATCTAGCATGCTGCATGAAACTCCCACAAGAGGTGCAAATGCCTTGGAAGATGTTTGGTTTTAAGAATAAAGAACAAAAATGGCATGCAGGTGCCTCTGCAGGCTGATAGACATAAAGGCCTCCCACCCACAACAAAGCAAGTGAGGATGGGATGAATAAGAACTTCATTTTAGATCAAGTGCAAAGATATTCTGTGAAAAATATTAACCATCTGGAGCAAGTCAATAATATATACACAGAACTTGCAGATAAGTGTATATATAAGGAAACCAATCATGGTTTACTACTGGCTCCATTAATGCTGGGGGCACTTTTTCAGCCTTTTCCATTGTCTCAGACCTCTCTTTTCCCAAGCACTCTCAAGCCCAGTGTATTTCAGCCTCCCCTCCTAGTGATTTCACTACAATTTTCAAAAGGAACGATGAGTTGGAGCCACGTTTTAGAGCAGTTCGGTCGACAGCAAAAGAAAGAAGAGAAAAAAGCAAACCTGGAAGGTGAAACCGTGAAATACCTGTGGTTGCCAGTGCTGTCAAGGTCTGACCACCTTGCCCATCAATTACACCATGGAGTTGGACAGTGTAATTAGTGGCAGCTTTGAGGTTGGTGACTACATAGCGCCGAGAGGCCCCTGGCACTGTGTGCACGAGGGAGTCCAAAGGGAAGTCAGAGTTTCTGACTTCTAGAATAAAATGGTCAAAGGCATTGTCCTGCGCTTCCCACACGAGTGACATGCTGTCTGAGGTAGCATTTGATACAGTGAGTTTGCTAAGGAGAGGTTCCTCTACTACAGGAAGAAAAACAAATGGAAATGTATTGCAATTATTAAAACCCAAAGCAACAAAATAAAATAGTACAGAAGTTCGAATTCACACAAACCCCAGGTCACAAAGATCATCTAGCTTTGTGTTTCTCAATGTTTTTCATACCGCCGCCCCTGCAGTCGCCCTGCCTGTGTTACCCATGATTCAGTGAGGATATTCACAATCTGCTGATGCTAGAAACTGCAACTCTGTATTATCTGATCACTGAAATCTAATATTTTGCTGACCGTCATTGACCACGTTAATCTATTGCTATGACAATTTTTCCTAAGATCATGTCAGCAGGCAAAATTTAGTAGAGATATTAAATGTTCACAATGTGAGCTATTATCTGCATACTATGAGAATGCGTCTTCTGCATCCATAGTCTAGTCCTCCCTTCCACTTTCATACTGTAATTGGCTAGAGCACATCAAACATACGACTTCTCTGTCTTTTCTGGAAAGACTGTCAACTCTAAAACCTCGAGATGTGCAATGTGCCAACAACTAAATGCCTACCTATTTCATTCACCAGCATCAAGTCAAATGAACTCCTTCAATCTCTCATCCAATGTAAACTGAATTCTGAAGTTGAATTCATGCAATGCATCTTCATTGTAGGAGTCTGCTGTCACAGACTGAAATGTGCCTGAAATCTATTTAGAGAATCATGATAAAAACGGTATCTAGAAATCAGCTTGTCTGAGAGAAATAGTGTCTCCTCTGTGCTGTGTGACAAACACATGTTGCAAGGCTAACATAATAAATCTTCTCCCCCTTGGTTCTTGGGTAATTCGTTTTGCTTCTCATCTGTGTCAGAGGTTGCCCCAACCTTAGTGTTTAAACAAGAGCAAACTTATTGTGTGAATGAAATCACATCACAGTGTGACTGACTGACTGACTTTGCTGGATGGGATGGTGGATTAACGTTCACAGTTCAAAATGTCTCCGGCAGGTCTTCCTTAGAAGATGTCAAACAATGAGGTAGAGAATTTGGTAATGGGTAGACTGATGGGGTAGCGGAGGGCAGGGAAAGGGGCACAACCTGTAAGGAAGAGTTAGAAGAAAGGAGAGTTAGCATTGAGGTAGGTTTTATATACCTGTTGTAGCTGCAGCACTTATTGCCTGTGTGCGGAAACCATGAGAGATCCCATAGAGGTAGACAATAAAATCAGTGCTGGGGGAAAGCCCTGAGATATGCGCAGTTCTTGAATTGCCTGAGATGTTGAACTCCATGGGCTCCAGCAACCTGTTAGAATCAATAATTTCAATAGTAAAGATGTCAAAGTCCCCGTTGGCGGTTGTCCAAGAAAGGTTGAAGCTTTCAGGAGCAATGTCGGAAACGGTTAGCTCACCAACTTCAGGATGCACTCCTGAGGAGGGAAACAACATTGGTCAGAAGGGGACAGCCCTGTACCTCCTCCTGCTCAGAAATGCCGTGCTTCTCTCTGCTCATGCTGGCAGCACTCCAAGCTGCCATTGGAGAAGAGGGTTTGAGTAAAAGCTTGCTACAAGCAGACAGGTGCTAAAGGGAAGAAATCAAATGAAAGCATCTCAAAATGTTAAATAAGAAAGAAAAAAAGAAAAATAAGCTTTAAAGCTACGGCTATTTCCCTTTACCTCCAGGAGCAGCCATGGGTCTTTGAGGTCTGAGCATGAAGGCAGATGCAAAAGAACTTTTCTGAATGCCCCCCAGGCATTTGGAAAAGTCAGCTTCCAGTTTTAGAAGCTAAAACTAGAGGTATTTCTTTATCCAAAGGAAAAGGTTGTGTTTTGTTTGCTCTTCTACTTTCCTTTTCAGCTTAAGCCTATGAAAACTGGCATGTAATTTTGGAGCTGGAGCCAAAATGCAAAACAGTGATAGCTGCCTTGGGGTTTCTTCCTCTCTGTAGACATCCCTGATGCGTTACAGGAAGGCTCAGAAAATTCTGACAGTTGGAAGTCCCCATAAGGGAAAAATTTGAAAAGCCGGGTGCTGAGCATGACCCAGAAAGGGAAGGGAAAACCTCAGCAGGGCATCTTCTGTTGTTTTCATTAAGTTAATAAAAAGAGAGCACATTGCATATTTAGGCAGGACACCCATGATGTCTGTTTTCTTGTTTGTCCCTGAACAGCCTCCTTTGTCTAGCCACATTTGTCTGTTTTCAATGGGCAATCTGCTACCAGCTCACACTCAGGACTCTCAAAGCACAGGACTTCTAGCCTGCAGCGGGATACAGCCCAAGGCAAGTGCCTTGTGCCAGACACATGGCTACCTAAGCCAGGCTGCTTAAAGCGTTATTGTAACAAGCAAGCTCTACTGCGTTTCATGCTTTAATTTTGTTTAGTTCTTATGTGTACTTTTATCCCCTTCTGTGCCGGGTAATATGTACGTGGGGAAATCAAATATGAGCAAGCTCTGGCTATCTCAACACTCACAGGAGGCTGAAAAGGTCTGTGAGCAAGCCCAGAGGCAATAGATATTGTCTACAAGAAATTATCTGAAGGAAGAGCCACTGATGCCCCTTTATTGCCAATTAATTCATACCCTGTTTACTACCAATGATCATAACACCTGGAAGAATCAGTGGGCTATACAGGATAGACATAAGTATATATTATTTACCTCTCACAGCCAAAGCTCGTTATAACCTGCCATTTAAAATTGCCATCTTTCACAAGATGAGCCAGAAAATTATTTTTGTGGCGATTCATTAATTTCATGCCACCTTCTGATAATGCAGGGCTTACCTTCCTTCCTTCAAGTCAGTTTTATGCCAGGGCAGTTCTGCTGAATTTGGTCTTCTTGCATTATATCTTTTTCAGACCAATCAGACTGTTTAACAACCTTATGTGGCTTAATATACGATACTACTCTGGGTAGGAATACATTAGTGTTCTTTTCCATATGAGAACATACAGAAGGTGTCTGTCCTTGCCCTTGAGTCAGATGAACGTACTATACCCCCAAGTTTGTATTTACACAGAACCTAGTGCATAATTTCAGGGGTAGCTTCTGAAGCATAAAAACTAAACATACTCTCGAGCTTTGATTTTCTGGACTATAAAGAATTTTAGAATTTTACAAGGCAACCTGAGCTTTCCCAAGCATGTAGAACAGCCAGCTGGGTTTTGCTGTTAGTATCAACCAGCAGAGGAGCAAGTAAAGGGAACAAAACAAGCCATTCTGAGGTGGGGGGAAAAAAAGCATTCCTAAAAGTGAAGGGCTCCATGGGGGCACTGAGACTCTTACTGGAAAGTCTGATCACGAGGCATTTCCATGCCAGAGATGTTCAGCCAAGCTTTAACGAGTTCAGTGCACCCTATGCAAAGCCAACTAAGTGAGCAAGCTTTGCCGAGCAGTTGCAATAGCTCTGGCTCACTTCCTTGTCTGCAAAGAAAGGGAGCCTTGAGGCTGGATGAGTGACTTGAAAAGATACCTGTCATGGTTTCAACAGAAAGGGGTTTGGTCCTGTAGCCTTGAATCACACCATGAAGTGTGACGCTATAAGGTGTGTTGGCCTTGAGGCCTGTAACATTCATAAAGCGCAGTCCGCCTGGGACTGTGATATTCCAGGTTTCTTCAGGATTGTCAGACTCCTGCACCTGAATGATAAAGTTCTCATAGGCCCCGTCGGCTGCTGTCCAGGTGAGCTGGAAACCATCCCAGCCAGTCTCTGATACCGATAATTTTCCAAGCTCAGGTTCCTCCTCTGAATAAGGATAGAGAATCAATCAGTTACTCAGATTACAGACTAGTGGTGATGATGTATTATTTAACGATGTTCCGTATTAATGAATTTCAGTTGTAATCAGTGACACAGAGATGCACCCCCCGGCACACAGTTACACTCCCAGCTGCCCCAGAAAACTTGTAAGATCTCTGCAGAGACATGGCAAAACAGAACAGTAAGAAAAGAACTGTAATAATAAATAATAACCGCAGTAATGCTAAAAGACAGCTTACAGAAAGCAGCTTATAGACCATCTTATACCTGCAAGTGTTTTGCCAACATTAATTACGGCTCCCTGTGAGACAAATAAGTATTACTATAACCACTTTACTGCACTATTAACAACTCTGTGTTTGCTATTATGAAGTGACTGTGAATACTGAAATGATGCCTGTTGTAAGGGTAGGAAGACATTGAGTTTAGAGCAGTTTGGATTCAGATGTTTATGCTTTTAATCCACATGAAGGATGCTATTTATTCTTCCAAACTATTTCTAATCCAAAACAACAAAGAAGGGGAAAATTCCTCCATGTCTGCATGTCTTTAGTTTAATGGGTTTTCTTCCTTATATTACGTTATTCTCTCCACAAAACCTTCCTGGTGGCAGACAAGCTTGGATTTTCACAGCTACTGATATTGATTTAAAATTGAAATCCGCATTCATAGAAATTAATGTTCTCATAAGCCATCACAGGGGTGGCCAAGGAAGCTAGGAACCATCAGAATTAACTCTCTGATGCTATTAAATCTGAAAGTTTAGGTCATTTTTGCAGCAAGAATAAAAAGTCCTCTCTTACAGAGGAAATACCACTGATTCCTTGAAATTAGCAGTCATATGAGACAATGACAGAGTAATACCTGTTTTTTTCTACATGGAAAGTCTTGCTATATGATCTGTCATTGGCCTGTGGATTCTGATGACTTTCTAGCACTTTTCTTATTTATTTGCATTGTCGATACATAAGCATTATAAGAACAGAGTCTATTTGGATAATCCCAATCCGTGTGGCTAAAAATTTATAAGAGAGAATGCATGAAGGGAAATGGATCTCATTTGTAAGTTGTAAACTTCATCTTTAAGCTTTATGCATATTTTAAGGCAGAAGATAAAGAGGCCCTGGAATAAATGAAAATTAGGCTCAGCAACATTACTCATATAAATTTTCCCCCTGTAAAAACACAGTGCTTGTTGTATGACTGCTGCAGAGCCTTATAGAGGTAGCTGGGGTTATATTTTCAGAGGTTGAACACTCATAGATCACAGTCAATTATCTTCAGCGAGATTCACTAATGTGTAGTAAATTGCTACTAGTCAGGAACACAAAAGTTTTGACGAGCTTTTCCCATCCTGTTTGAAAGGAAGAGATTGTTTATGAAACAACACAATGATGTTCAACAAAAAAAGAAAATGCATGAATCCCAGGCTGTTTTGCTTTATGAGGAAGAGAAATGAGACTCATTAAGGCAAAATATGAATCCTGTTAAAATCACACTGTTTAGCTGAAAAAGAGAAAGCAGGAAAGAAAAGGAACTGGTTGTATCAGAAATAACAATCTCTTGGTGACAACAGAAACAAATAAAACAAATACATATCCTTAAAATGGAAATGAAACTAAACCAAAAGTTATAGCAAGGTAGAATCTTTCAAATAAAAGCTTGATTATAATAGGTAATGCAGTAATCATCACAACTTAAAAGCAATTCAGGTTTCTCTGAAGAGTGCTCAGTTTCATTCACCTCCAAGATGCAGAGTCCCTTTTCCTCCCGTTTGTTTCTCATGCATGTCTGAAACAGAAGCGCACACAACCCCATCATGCTCTCTAGGGACCAAGAGAGTCTCATACAAAATCATGCACCAACTTGGACAGCTGGAGACCTCCAAAAGCCTCACCCATAAAGCATCCAGCACATATGACAAAACAATGACAAAGTCATGACAAATGATATCAAGGGATGATGTTTCTTACTTTAAAAAAAAAAAAAGACAGAACAAACCATTGAGAGATGAGACGGCTCAAGCCTTGTGATAGGTGTGAAATAATCTGTGTGTTTCTATGTAGATGTTTTATCTCATGTGAATTTGGTTTTGGGTGATGGACAGGCACAGTCATTAGTCTCCAGCTAGGTTCTCACAGATATGAACTTACACTGTTACTTTGGTCATTATTGAACTGAGCTCTGTGGCTATAGACCTGTTTCCTCATGAAATTCAGATATAAACTTACACTGTTACTTTGGTCATTTTGAACTGAGCCCTGTGGCTATAGACCTGTTTCCTCATGAAATTCATGTAATAGGGATAAGGGGTGGAAATTTTCAGAAAGGTGTACTCCCAATGTGTTACAATCTTTTTTTTCCTCTGACATCACCACTTCCATGCCAATGCTGCCAACTGCAACCTCTTTGCAATCTTTCTTGTGTTTGAACCACAATCCAGATAAATACCTGTAGCATCTTGCTATTTTCACATGCCTTGTAAATAGCAGATACATCAATGTCTCTCTCTGCATGCAATTTGAAAAGAGAGAATTGATGCTGCATCACCTGGAAAGTTGCATGGGGCATTGTCCATGCTGCAGTGCTCAAGGCTCTCATTCCATAGCACTAAGTTTTATTCCATGCAAAAGGAAGAAAGAAAGAAAAAAAAACAACTAGGAAGAAATGCATCACTCACAAAGCCTAGCATTTCTGTAGTATGAAAATGAAGTTCTGTATTCCAAAGCAGAAAAGGAACATATGGCTAAAGAATCCATAGAAAATACCTGTAGTAGCTAGGGCTTCCAGGGACCAAGAAAGCTGACCTTGAGTGCTTCCATGGAGGTTAATCTGGTATTGTGTGCCGGCTGTGAGATTGGTAATTTCTGTTTCTCGATGGTTTCCCGGCAAAAAGATTTCCTGTGTTCTCCTTAAACTGGACAGGTCTTTCAGAGTGATAAAGAACTGATCAAATACCTCATCCTGTGCTGCCCAAGACAGGGTGAAACTACGGAAAGTCCTGTGTGTTATATTAAGGTCATGAAGAGCACCAGTGGCTTCCAAGATGGGAAGGTCAGTGGGCACCGAAAGCAGAGCATAGGAATCAGTGCTTGGGTTTGTTAAATAACTCAGCTCTGTAGGTGCAGGACTGGTAGGATTAAATGACGTTTCATTAATTGATTCTCCAGGTGTTGTGACTAGATGTGCTAAACAGAGGTAAATTACAAGTTAAAATTTCCTGATAATAAACCTCCAAATATACCAAAAGACAACTAGCATCTGCTAGAAAACAGTTTTGTGTGCTTTGCATGAAAGAGCTCCAAGAACAGAGAAAACAGATGAGTACTTTTTTTTGGAGACTGAATCCAAGCCACAAGCAAAGGTAGCATCACCAGCACAACATGGTTCCCACAAAACCACACTAACTATCAGATCCAGGGCAACAACCAAGAGAGATGAGCTGAAATGCTCCCAGCAGAGAAATGGGCACATCCTCAGTTGATGTAAATCAGTACACTTTGATTACCTCCAAAGAACTTTGCTGATGTACATCGGTGAGGATTTGAACCCCAAGTCTCTCAAACATGCCTTTTGTCTTTACTACAGCACGCTAGTTATTGTTTCTGATGCAAACCGTAAGTGGAATGCATGCCAGATATTGCAAACACATCCAAATCCAGACTGAGAAATAAGCCACAGCAGAAGCATGCTAAATCTCATCCTATCCAATCAAAAACAGGCTTGGAGGAGTTATCCACCTGCATACATGCAGAATTTTCAGAAAAGGCTTGGGGGGGGACACACACATCCTTACCTAGAATCTAGGACAGAAAGATCTTGAGCAATCTTTCTTTAAAGAGATCCAAAGGAACAGAAGGGAAAAGGACTTGGCCTTCAACATGCTGAATGATCCGCAAATATATCCTGTAGCACAGTCAGATTCTGAAAATCTGAGAACTGTGGAGATCACAGAGAATGCATTTCTGATCACAGCTGCAAGGCAACAGGCAGGTGATTTTTCTGACATGCAGAATTATCTCCTCATTAGTGGAAAACCACTTCATTTCACACCTCAACGACTTCCTTGCTTTCATGCTCCAGTTGCATTCAATTAAGAGAGAGCAAGTCATCTACCACCATCAATCAGATCAGCACAAATACGTACTCAGGATTCAATATCTGTCTCCAAATTCACACATGTATCAGAAAAAAGAACTTTTCAGAGGCAATAGAGCAATTAAAAATGTTTTCAAATAAATGCAGAAATGTTATCTTGAAAATATACTCTTGAGGACAAATACAGATGTAAAAACATTGTTTTCTGCTCACGTCCAGGAAGGAGAGCAGCCTGTGAGGCAAACAGTGATTTATATTTACATATATCATTGATATTCTTGACTTAGGTAACGGCCCTTCTTAAATTCCTGCAGCACGTGATCTCAACCAGGCCCTACGTGCGCTGCAACCTGAAGACAGCCATGTTGTCATCACACCAGCAAACCTGCAATGGTAACGGCTACTGTAATTCCCTCTTTCAAAGTAAACCGACTGTCAGAACTGTTATCTGACTCCACCATTAGCCTTCTGTGACTCTCAGCTGCTTGTGCACAATTAGATGCCAACCAGCTCTTTCCTATTCTGGGAACAGACAAAAAACTTTGGCATCAAGCGAGTGCACTGATACTTGTTCAGCCTTGAGGTTGTCTACCTAACATGCAGAGTGGTAGCTGGGCTTTACTGCGGAGTATTTCTGCAGAAGACATGCACAGATAGAGTGAGCAGACCAGTGGGGAGGAAAGGGCAGCAGTACATTACACAGGTACAGCTCCATGCTGTGAATGGTTCCACTGGGAAACTGCCATGCACCCTGAATTGGAAACTGAGGACAAAACATCCAAAAATACAAGGGAAAAAGAAAAAAAAACAAGGCTCCTGATATACTGAGGATCTGTGAGAAAACCCTGTGTAACACTAGTCAAAACTGGCTTCTCGTTTTACTTGACCACCCCTACTGACATGTCTCCTAGAGTCCTGCCAGTTATAGTATAACCACACTAGGAGTTGGTTACTCTAATCTGAATGGGAAACACGGCAGCAGTTCAACTGTATTACACAAACACTGAGGGACCAACCACCTAAGTGACATTCTAATTCAGAATTTTGCTGTCATGATTGCATTAATATTGTTGTGCCAGCTTTGACAACTACATGGGAGGTTGCCATGCACAGATTGTCTCATGGAGCTTATGTAATTATATGTGGTTACTACACTAATGATGACTCCACAAATGAATATGTGGATGAGAAAGGGTGGTCTACCCTCTACACACACATATAAATGCACACATAGCCCACGTTAAGTTCATGTGTAATAGAGGAATATGTGGCTTTGTGTACAAATGAACAACAGGTATAAAAATGAAAATTATATGAATACATGGAAAACACTCTGATACCACAGACAGTATTCACTGTTTAGCAAACAGAATACTCTAATAGAAAATTTGGAAAACAATCAATCTGTAGCATAACAAGACCAATAGGATTCAAACACTTGACTTGGCAACTAAGGGGATAGGTGGGACGAAGAGAAAGAGAGCTCTAGGAGCCCAAGCTCGGGGGGTGGCAGCCAGACAGAATGATTCATGGTGCAAAGATGAATAAACAGTAGATGTCAAAGAGCTGAAAGCTACGTAGAAGGAAAACTGGATGGACAACAAACATACGCTCTTTCTCAGACTTCAATACTTCTCAATATCATTCTCTTAGTAAAATCTTCAGACTGAATATGGCCTAAATATGTCTATCTGCTTTTGCTAGCCTTTTGAGGAATTCCATTGTAATGCTTCATTGGCGATTTTACTAAAAAGAATGTTAATGTCCTGCCAGGACATTTCCCCAGTTCCTTGGGATGGAGCAAACAATATTCTGTATTATTTCTTGCTTCTGTCTCTTGGAATTTATATTACTTGCCAAGAGGGGCTATCAGCCAGTTTCACTGCGGAGTCTCTCATGAGCTCAAGCACACTGTAAGACATGATGGTCTAGCAAGGTATTTGCTTCTTTTCAGACCCCTTTGGCTACATGTCTTCCCTTTCTCAACCGGCTGATTAAACTGGGCTTACAGTGCCTGTGCACCTCTGAATTTCATAAAGAAAGCATTGCAGCATGTCACAAGCCAGAAATACTACAGTAGCTGCCACTAAAAATCCTCGTATTTAAGTCAGGTTCCAGGTACTCTCAGCGGAGGAATCAGCCGGAGAAATGGACAATCTTCACTGGCAAATTTAGTTTCCCAGTGGTCAGCGCTAAAGTTTCCCATTCAATTGGCTCACCTAATCATTCTTCCTAATGTTTCTTTGAGTTTGTATAAAAAATGGTGGTGCAATCTAAGACTAGTAGAAGCCAGGAGAGGAAGAGGGACTGACACACAACACAGACATGGGTCTTTGGTAAACAGCATAAATCTTCTTAAAAACATCCAACAGAATGGAAAAGTTACTTCTCCAAGCCATGCTCCTATTGCAACTCACTTCCAGAGGCAAGACAGTACAACATCCATGATTCATCAACAGTTGCTGCACAATGTGGGTCCTTCAGCAGAGGAATTTGAGGTTGGCTCTTGGTTCTCTAATATCCACTCATTTATCTCCACAGGCCTCTCGTGCCTGATATATTGCTGTCTGTCCTCCTCCAGCACCCACATTGTGCTATGCAGGCAGGGTTCCAGAACCAGAGCAAAAAAGCACAAAGCTGCAGCCTGACTGCTCAGATTCCTCAGAGATGGGTTATGCACTCACCCTACAGGTTAGTTGTTAATCTGATGTAACATTCTCAAAACATGCTGCCAGAAAGGTGCCTCCACCTAGTAAAATGGCTCATTTTCTTTGATTTCTGAAGTGATTCTAAACTAAAGTCTTAGTCCAATGCTGGATGGGACCTCTAACAAATAAGTAGCACCCCGGTTTGTGATACCTTCGTTAATAACAGAAAGTAGGTACCTGTTGTAGCCACAGCTTCCAGAGGAGAAGAGCGCTGTTCTCCAGCCAATCCATACACCTTGATTTTATAAGTAGTGTTAGCTTGGAGGCCGTCAATCACAGCACCTAGGGATTCTCTGGGCAGGAAGGTTTCTGCAGGGGGCCCACCTGCCAATGACACTTCCTCGTACTCCACCACAAAACCACTGTAGACTCCTCCATTTGCATACCATGAGACACTAAAGCTGCGGTCTGTTACCCTTGAGACCACAAGGTCCCTCAGTGCATCTTCCTGCATCCCTGAGGCCTCTGGAGCAAGAAAGCTCCCATAGCCAGAAAGCTCCTCTGGGTCAGGAGTCATTGCCTGCGTTAGGGTTAGACTATATAGAGCTACAAAGAAACAAGCAAATGGCAGTGTGAAATAGTTGGCCTTTCCTTTTCAGCAAAACAAAGTAACATTTAGCAAAACTCTTCATAATCTTTACCATCCCTTGAATGCAGCATCATAGACATCAATTAAAAATACCTTTGTCACTAGTGCTGCATTTTCATCCATATGAAGAGACAGAAGCAACAGAAGGCTGCCATCCTATACTACTGAAGATTTTGTGGCGTGTCTTTTGCTAGAGGTTCATGAGCTCTGAATGTTTCAGCTGCCTGTGTCTGGAGAGTTGATATACATAAAAAGGTAACAGGAAGAATGGGAGAGGGGAGAGAAGGCACCAACAGAAGACCTTCAGCTCTGGGGCTGAAAGAAGCTTTACCCTCAGTCACAGAAAATTCACTATGTAAACAAATAAAATAACATGTGGGAAACTCCTGAATACCTGCTGGCAGAGAAGCCTGACTGAACAATCAAGAGGCTAGGAAGATTATAAGATGGAAAACTGTCAATCTGGAGAAGCAAAGGAAACTCTGAAAAGAAAACCTCTCAGCCCTTCTGCAGTCCTTGGCTCCCTTCCTCAGTGGGGATAGCACATGTCCTTCTAAACAGCAGGACCGTCTTCTCCACCCACCAAGCAGAGCTAGTCCAGTCCTAGCTGTGCTACTGGCATTCTCCCTTCAATCGTTCCTCTCTCTCCCTGGGTGCTCCAAGTGCTCTTCCCAGCAGTGCAATGGACCTGAGGTGCCCCATAGCTCTGCAAGAGAGGGTAAAACAACAAGTTTGTTTGCCTTAGCCTGAGGACTTCAGGACCTCCCAAGTACTGGGAACACGGATAAAGAGGACTGATTTGAGGGTGGACGAAAAAGTAAACTGAAGAAGAGACCTCCTGTCTTATACCCCACAGGCTGACAGAGCATTTCTGCTTCCCCACGCTCCTGGGTTTGGATTTGTCCATTCCTACGCGGGAGGCAGGTCACAGAGACAGGTTATGTCAACTACTGCCGTTGCTTCTAAGGAGCCCATGCAGAGAACTCTTTGTTTACTTGCTGCTCTGAGTAAAGGCTTAAAACAAATACACTGGCCAGACTAATGTATTTATGAAAAAAGCCAAAAAACAAACCAGGAAAAAGAATCCACCTTGTGAGACTTTGGAAGCTGGTGCTGGAAAGACCAGACTGAAATTCCACAGCATGTTGTTTCCACCTTTTCACTGTCTATGCATACTTCTTTTGAGACCACTCAGGCTTCAGATAGATGGGAAAACACATAACTTTGGAAAAATTGAAGCCTGCTCACTCCTGCCACATAAACCTTCAGCTTTCCTTTATATGTGCATGCCTCAAGGCTTCCTAATTTTTCCCTACACAGGCCTGACTTATGCATCAGACAAGTAATTCAGTACTGACAATTTTCTGTAGTTTACATGATACTGTAAAACTTTCTGCTGTACTGGATTGCTTGACCCTATGAAGCATTCAGAGGGTCTGCTGGCATGGACACTACCAGGGAAAATAAAAACAGTTTTGATCGGTGAAGCTGTATAGCTATTAATTTGTAAAATCACAGCTTCTGGCATGTGTTTACCTCACAGGTGGTCTTTGGGGAGAAAAGGATAAATACCTCGATATCTGCTAGGGACAATAATTGTAGCTCAGCTGATTCTGATTTCGCTGTCTCTGATTACTTATAGGAGTCAAGGTTTTGCCTCACAGGATGTAGCCTGAAGGCACATAAAGATTCAGGACTTATTTGTGTTCTATACTGAGATACAATTCTGTATGCAACAAGCTTTGGGTCAGAATGTTTCACAAAGAATAAAACCTTGTTCAATAAGTAGTCCACTGACACTGGTTAATTGGAGTGGTTGGTACAAATGCAGATGGCAAGAACAGACCCCTTCTTTGTAGACAAATGTAGCAGTCATGGTATCCAATGGAAACAGTGACTGTGACCAGATTTGTGGAGGTAGCCTTTCTTGCTTTTGGATGAGAAAACTGAAAAAGGCAACATCAGAGCCCTGTTGACCCTGCAGAAGCATGATGGGTGGAGGCATGCTGTGAAGAGAATTCATTAGGCAGAAACAAGCAATGTTAAATACATTCCAATTGCTCTTCCTCTTAGTTTTTGGCTGTAGAAAACAAAACAAATTATAAAACATAATGCACAAAAATGCAGCCTCATTTAAAACAAAGGACGAGGTCTGCATTTCCTGCAGGACAAATAGCTGCGTTCTTTGTGAGTCTTCTCAAAGGATAAGCAAGAAATCATTGAGATTTCTTTGAGATTTCATTGAGAAACCCCACGGTTAAGTCTCACGGTAGACACAGCTAAGTCTGCTCTGCAGGCAGTTGATGTTTTTAAGCAGTTTCCCAGACATGGCTTACGAAACCAGGTGAAGTTGTACTTGGGCTAGTCATTGCCCAGCGGCCTGGTGCACTGCACGCATCAAAAGCTGTTACTCACCAGTCGAACCCTTGACAGTTGTGGGTTTGCTTTTGTGTCTGCCTTTCTCCGCCACCAGACTAATGGTGTATTCTGTCCCTGCATCCAGTCCTCGCAGGATAAAAGAGGTGCTGTCCACAGGGATCTCCACTTCGTTCTTCCTTCCAGAGGGGCTAACATAAATCAGGCGATAACGATCAAACTTGGCCACTGGTCTTCTCCAGCGAAGGGATAAGGTGGTTTCAGTAGGGTCACTGACTTCCAAGTCCTTGGGGTTATCAAGATCTACAGGTTAAAAAAAGCAAAGTTGAGGTGTCTCTGAACTGCCCTGGGACTGTTTTTCAGGCATCTGCAGACGGAGTAACATCTGTACTAGGTGCCTAGCAACAGCTCAGAGTCTTATCCACCTTTTGGAGCTTTTGAAGCTCTGTTGCTTGATATAGCTAGAGGATGATGAAGTTCTCTTTTACAGACAAACCACACTGGAACAGATTTCCCCCACTTACACTCACTTAAGCAGGCACTACACGGAGGAAAGGCAGAATTTAAGCCTTCAGCAAATTTACCTGGGAAAAGGGGGACATTGTGAGAAAAATCTTGGATTTGAAGGGCAGTCAGGACTATTGCAACCACTGAGGCTGCACTCTTTTAGTCAGATCAACCTTTTGGTCATAACTACCATTCCTGCCAGAAACCCTCACAATTAGAGGATGGCCAAAGTAATCAGTGTAAGCATAATTACCGTTAAGGAGCTCACCTACAGATTAAATTCCCAGAACATTAAGAGATCCTTATACAGGAAAAGGAAGGCAGATTCAGAGGTCGAGATCTTTGGGGAAATGTTTTTTCTTTCCCTTGAGGGAAAATGTCCCATTGGTACCAAAATGAAATCAAGAAGTTTCTAAAGTATTTCTTAGAGCATTACTTGGAAATGCAGCATCAGTGTGGCTCTGCCTGATTCTCTGCTTCCTCCAGAGCACAAAGGGGGTTTAAGATACTCACCAGTGCCAGCATTAATGGTAGCAGGAGCACTTTCCCTGTCCTGTCTCACTGCTGTCACTCCAATGCCATATTCAGTTCCAGGCCTCAAACCTAAGAGATGAGGAATAGAAGTAAGAGTTCCTGTCCATGGAATATGCCTACAGGCATTTGTTTAGATAAGGAAGCCTGAATGTATGCAAGGCAAGATATACGTTTTCCTGTGTATGCAGAGAATCGAGGTTTTAGTTGACCCTCCAGCTGACCTGATGTTAATAAATCTTTTTCCATGTACATGCCAAAGGATAAAGATCATGGCTGACTGAGATTGCATTTTGGGCACTGTGCAAACACATAATCAGAGACAGCTTCTGCTTTCAAGAGCTTGCAGTATAGGTACTTCTGCCAAGGAAAAACAGAGAGATGTCCACGTGACATGGAGAAAGTACCATTATCTAGCCTCGCAGGCCGGTAAGGCAACGTTCAGGCACACAGAAAGGTTGCGGTCTGGCATCAGTAAATACCAGCCCTAGCACATGCAAAAGCCTTTTGAACTCAGGCAGGTGAAGCCATCTTCACAAAGACATGTAGCTGCCTCGAACACAGGGGACTGACTGGTGGGAATCAGAGATGCACGTGAAGGTGAAATGGCTACACAGCTCCTGTTGGCTAGTTGTCCAGCCACAGTGTGTGAACACGTATCACGTGTATTTTAACTTAATTGCTTGTACTAAAATGCGTAACCTCTGCTTGTACCTCTCATGTATAGCAACCAAAAAGGCATTTTTTCGCTACATTACTGTGCTCTAGGGTGTTGGCAGCAGCACGATATTAACGACAATCTCTCCATTCCCCTACCTGTCAGTGTAGCTCTGGTTGTTGCTTGGTTGCCCTTTGGCACTGTGATCTCAGCATGGTCTCCACCAGAGATGGGAGCAAACTTAATTCGATAGTTATCAATATTTGCATGGCTGTTCTTCCACTCCAAAGTAATGCTATTGTCTGTCTGTGACACCCGCTTCAGGTTTCTTGGAGCATCCAAATCTGTAATCAATCAACCAATAAAATAATAAAAAAAAATCAATAGGAATAATTATCTTACAACAGCAGTCTCTTATAACAGTACTTTTCAGGAGGCGAAATGATCCATAAAGCTGAAGTTAAGTTTCCTCTCACATGATACCATTATGTTCTTAGCTACATCAAGCAGATTTCTTTTAGCATGGAGAGTTCGCTAGCTTTGGGGAAAATGTCAACGGAAGAAATTAAACTTTTATCTCCTGAGACAAAAATAACATTTTCAGTCTTAGTTATTATTTATTACAAAATAGGCTCATGGAAAAACGTATTTGGATGAAAATACTATTTTTTCTTTATATACACCTCAGCTTTCAAAAGGAGAATGGCTGAGTGGAAAAAAGCGTTTATCATCTCTAGAATTTCTGTTCAGTAAATATCTTGCATTCATGGCTGAAAGTAACACTAAATCTCAAAACAAAAGGTGAGTATTTTGTAGAAATTCAATGGGCTTTCACTGTTCACACCTATAGTAGACTCCAATCCTGCAACAACTACATTTTAGGATGAAAAAGGAGGTAGTTCTCTATGTGCCATTTACTCAGCTCCCTTAATGCATCAAGCCTTGATAACATGCTAAAGGACCCACACTTTCATAAAGTATTCCTGGAATCACTAAGGAGCAAAGTAAATTTGTAGAAGCAAGCCAGAAAATATTTGCAGAACTGAAGAAGGAAAAAAAGCAGTTCTCTGCTAATCTGTTACGCATTTAGAGAAACAGAAATAAGGTTTTAGATGGAATAGGAACCATGGAAGATATTTAGCTCAGTAGACAGACAAGTAATCCAGAGGAATTTGTTTCCTGAAGTAGAGACTTAGGGTATGATGAGCAAAGGCTTCTAAAGGACTTAATAACGTAATTCCCATTTTCAAAATACATTTAGATACTTGGGGAGGTCTCAATATTTTGTTGAGCCAGTAAGGTATATAAAGAACAGAAAAACATCTTCCCCTTTCATGTACTTCTGTAACAGTGTTGTTTCTGTGTTGATGCAATGACTATAAACTCAAGCAACAAGACAAACTCAGCACAGGAAGATTGATGGTGATTGCGTTACCTTCCCAGAAGTTTGGGTTGGTGTCCAAGCCTCTTACCTGTGACAAAGACTTCTTTCATGGGGTCGCTTTCCATGTCCCCTCGACGAGAGATGAGCGTCACTTCATACTCTGTGTGTGGCCTCAGGTTTCCAATAGAATATTGGTTTTCATCTTCAGAGAGGTCAATGGTTGTCCTGTCCCCTGGAACATCCTTGGGGCCATAAGTGAGCTCGATGCCTTCAATTTCAGCCAAGGGTTTGGACCATGTGATAAGAGCTGTGGTGTCTGTGACATCTCTTGCCTCAATCTGGCTAGGGGCATCAAGCTCTGTTACAAAAAGAGAAAGAGGTGGTTTTTAAAGAAATCTTGCCGGAAAAGTTGTGCGCATCCTTGTGCTTTTATTTGCTGATTCAGAGCAAAATTAAAATGAGTGGCTTCTACCAACTGAAGCTTATCTTCATTCACTTTTTTCCTTTACTTTCTATAGTTGTAGAAGAAAGTGCCAAATGGAGTCAATTCATCAGAAGCAAATTCATCAAAATTCATTAACATTAGAAGCTGCCAAAGGAAAGATGAGCAGGAACCCTAAGAGGGTCTCCATGTGCACCACAGAAACTCACCTTCAAATAATTTCTTCATGCAAATATCACCAGGTTGAAATTCTAGCTCCTGTTATGTACATTTTTGCTACCTTCTAGCTAAACATAAATATCTTTTCCTCTTCAAACAGGTGATTTTGAAAGGAATTAATGTCTCCTCATGTATGCTTCATTGGCAGCTCCACTACTTCCTTTTTCCCCCCTATCAGTTCACAGAATAAAGCTTGGCTTTCTCTTTGTTTAAAAACTCCCTAGGCTACACCAAACAACAGTTGTTTTATTGGTGGCACTATACCAAATACAGGTTGTGCTTACTTGTGGTTATCACTCTGGATAGTCCTGGTCCCCTGGTATTGTTTTTCACTATATGAAGGGATACATTATACTGTTGCCCTGGTGCCAAACCCGGCTGCATATAAGATGTCTCCGGTCTTTTCAAGCTGCTGGTTATATCTCCATTATCATCCTTTTTCTGTAACACATGGAGCAATCATAGGTAGTATAAACATAAAAAATCCAGAATCTTTCACTTATACATGGCCTCTATAGAAGAAACACTGCTTCCTTACCATATTACGGAAGACCAGCTCCCAGCCATCAAATGAAAAATTCAGAGGATCCCACTCCACCTGGACAGACGTTTCTCTAACAGATTTGAATTTCAGACCTTCTGGAGCAGGCAGATCTGTGACAGAAAAGGATAACATTACATGAGCCACAAATTCCCATAAATAGGGCACTGAGGGTGGGACATCTTTCCACCGCTATAAATATCTGCCATGTAGGTATCTGCATCTGAGATGTTTAAACCCTCTTCACAGCCAGTTATTCTGTCTTTGGAGAAACGTTCCTCTGACCTGTTTTAGATGTTACCTTAGAGTAAAACAAATTTTGCCTTAGAAATCTTTTCTTTTGCCCTCTTGAAAGAAGCCTAGCATGGACATTTCAAGTTAGGTGAGATGAATCCTGCCCCAGGTCCCTAAAAGTGAGTACAGTGACAGAAGTCAAAGAGCATCTTTTGAAGCTGGGATGTTCAGATACGATCGTGGTGTGCTCAATACAAAAAGGAAGATGAACATCAAACGAACAGACAGGCAGATAGAAAGTAAATTTTAGTAAAACACATTGAAGATGCAAACCAAATATAACCTCCATTTCAGTAAAAAATGAAGTTAAGTTAATTTAGTTTAAAACCAAGTGATTTCATGTTGGTCTTCTACACGCCACTCCATTTTTATATTTTTTCAGGAAGCATTACCACATTTTAAAAATGTACATTACTGTGAAGAAGCCAAGGGTCTTAATTTACAAAGACCCCATGATGTTCAGTGGGAAGCACTGCAGCGAGCAGAAGAGCTAGTGAACTGTAGTTTTAATGCAGTTATTGGTATTTGAAAAGAACTGAAAATGAAAGTGCAGAAGGCTGTCTTTGTCCAGAAGAGAAGATGAACTGAAGACAGAAAATACAAAAGAAATAATACCTCCAAAAAGGGATGCAAAAAAATACATGCTATGGAACACATAAAATAATTAATACAGGGAATATTAGACTCACATGTTGCTACCCTGGCACTGACTGGAATACTTCTCTTGTTTTTAAGGATTGCAAAGACACGGATAAAGTATTCTACGCCCGGCTCCAGTTCATGAATAGTGGCAACTGTCTGGTTTCCTGGCACAGTGAACTGCATATCTAAGCCACCACTGCTGGTAGGGACATAGGTGATGAGGTACTCATTGACGAGGTTCTCATGCTTCCATTCCAGATTTACGGTTTTATCCGTTACGTTTGTCACAGTCAGCTCAGTTGGAGGAGACACTAGGAAGGGGAAAAAACAAAACAACTTATAAGAAGTTTTCAAGGCTCAGAAAATAATGAGTTACCCAGGTTCACATTTTCCCAGGAGCAGTTTATAAAAAATCATCTAAGAAACAGGGAATGGGGAAGCCATGTCACACAAATTAGCTGCTTGAAGAAAGGAATATTCAGCTGATGAAGACTACAGACATTTCCAAAAGTCACAGGCCAATTTCTACTCTCACACTTACACAACCCACGGCTGACTGTGTTCCAGCTCTTCCTCACATGGCTACTGCACAAGACTACTATAGCTGGGTCCCTAGGGATTCAGGCATTTAATTCAACTGCCAGCAACACATGATTTTATAGCTGGAAGTCCTGGGGTTTGCACAGATTTTCCAAAGTAAAATAAAACATGATTATTTTTGTAAATACTTTCAATAGATTACTCCACATTTGCACATGCAAGAGCACAAAAAGTGACTTAGGAGTCTTCCAGAAGGAGGAAATGAAAAATGGGAATTTCTTTTCAAGGGTATTCATTGTCTTTTATAATGTTCCCAGTCCCAAATTACTCTCTGATTACTCTACAAAGATCTTAGTTCCAAAATTCTCCCCTGGGATCAGCTAAAGAAAACTACCTCGTTTATAGCGTAACGCCTGTCATCATCTAGCTGCCAAAATTTTATATCAATCTCCATGGAGTTGGTGGTACTGGGAAACTAAGCATGTGGCTTTATAGCTAAGTTTCCACTCCAGCTGATTCCATGATTTTACCCTAAGCTTTTGTCAGATCTGACACACACACACACACACATACATATACATGTATATACATAAAAAAATCAAGTTTTACTTTAGTTAGAAAAATCTGTTTGGCCAATTGAGAGACAACCAAGCCCCTGTAATAATCCTGAAATCTTGCGCTACAATATTTGCAACATCTGGTGATTCCATCATGACACTTGTCTCATACAGATCACTCAGGACAATGTCATTTTCTGTGTGCGCCTTGCCTCCACTGTGTTCTCTACCTCCACCAGGGCTCCAGCTCAGAAATCTACCTTCAAAGCAAAGTCACTGAGCCCTTGGGGTCTGTCAGTGTATATTGTCAGTGCTGTGTGTTTCATTTTCGGCTCCTAGTGATAGCATTGTAAATGCAAACCCCTTTCTTATCCATCCAGCATGAGACTGGAAACCAGAAGCTGGCTGAAAAAATCATTTGATACCCAGGCTCTTTATTCACTGACATTAATTATCTGTATTATCTCATTCCTCCAAAGGCTTATTCTGTAGTCAAAATTCAGTCCATATTCTTTCGACTAATCCTGAAAAAAGTAAGAAGACTCTGGATACATCTCCCTCTTCTCCATAGCTAGAACACTTTCTTTTAGATGTGTTTCTTTTTGGCATTAAGAGATACTATGAGAAACTGAATGGTCATGGTGACAAACCCCAGCCAGTGCTAGATACAGCTCCAGTGACATTGTGGTGGGAGTAAACTTGGAGAAAACAAATGACTGCATCACCATTATCAGCCTGTTGGCTTGCTGACTACCAAAAGTCACCATCAATTGCTACTCTATCTAGCCCTGAAAAGTGAGGGAGGCCAAGAACTTGCTAGTAGTGTTGTTACTTCTCTGATTTAGCTATTTGGACTATGATAAATAAGAGTGGCAACAGGGCCCAGCTCTATGGAAAAGGTTCACAGAGCCTCTGAGGCCGCTGCAAGTTACCACGAGGTGTAACAGGGAGTTACCATGGGGAAGGGGTTCAAAAGGGACATTGCAACCTACCATCGGAGCAGTCATCCCCCATGTAACCATCCTCACAGACGCACCGTCCATCGATGCAGCGACCCACGTTGTTGCAGTCGTTGGGGCAGGACCGTTCACGGCAGTCCTCGCCCATGAAGCCCTCATGGCACACGCAGCGCCCATCGACGCAGCGCCCACGCCGGTGGCAGTCGTTGGGGCAGGACAGCTTGCCGCAGTCCTCCCCCGTGAAGCCATTGTCACACTCACAGCGTCCCTCCACACAGCGCCCACGGTTGTGGCAGTCTTCGGGGCACCGCAGTTCCCCACAGTCCTCCCCTGTGTACCCCTCGTCACACACGCACTGCCCATTGACGCACAGTCCATGGTTGTTGCAATTGTTGGGACACCGCAGCTCGCCACAGTCTACCCCGGTGAATCCCTCATGGCACACGCACTGCCCGTTGACACAGCGCCCACGGTTGTGACAGTCGTTGGGGCACCGCAGCTCCCTGCAGTCCTCCCCGATGAATCCTTCGTGGCACACGCACTGCCCGCTCACGCACCTCCCATGCACACTGCACCCCTGGGAGCAGAGCTCTTCGCTGGCCCTGGTACCCCTCGTGGCAGATGCAGCGCCCGCCCACGCAGCGCCCGCGGTTGTGGCAGTCCTTTGGGCACCTCTTCTCGCTGCAGTCATCCCCCACGAAACCCTCGTAGCAGACACACAGCCCGTTCTCGCAGCGCCCGTTGCCGTTGCAGTTGTTGGGGCAGGTCAGCTCCCCGCAGTCCTCCCCGGTGAAGCCCTCCTCGCAGAAGCAGGTCCCGTTGACGCAGCGCCCGCGGTCGAAGCAGTCGTTGGGGCAGATGAGCTCGCTGCAGTCCTCGCCGGTGTAGCCCTCGTCGCAGACGCACTCGTTGTCCACACAGCGCCCGCGGTTGTGGCAGTTGTTGGGGCAGAGGGGCTCGCTGCAGTCGTCACCAGTGAAGCCCTCGTGGCACACGCACTGCCCGCTCACGCACCTCCCATGCACACTGCACCCCTGGGAGCAGAGCTCTTCGCTGCAGTCTGTGCCGGTGTACCCCTCAAAGCACACGCAAACCCCATCCAAGCACTTGCCTTGGTCGTTACAGTCAGACGGGCAGGTGGCCTGGCTGCAGTCCTCACCAGCGAAGCCTTCACTGCAGATGCATTTGCCCTGGACGCAGAGGCCCCTGCCGAAGCAGTTGTGGGGGCAGTCGGGTTCAGAGCAGTTGGGGCCTTTCCAGCCACGCTCGCAAACGCAGCCACAGATCTCGATGCTGTAGTTGCCGTGTCCACTGCAATAGGGTGTTGTGTCCAGGCGACCTGTACCAACAAGGTGGAAAAACCATTACTCCCCTTGGCTCTGGGATGCATTAGGTGAGTGTGGAACACACAACCTAAAAGAGTCTGATTTTCCTAGCTCCCTACAGGATAGGATTTCCAGAATCACCAAAGCTTTTAAATGAGAATACCTCCTCCTTTCTCCTGTACAGCTTAGTTTACCAGGAATGCTTTAATTCGTGCTAATGCCAGGGAAGAACCCCTGCCAACTACTTGGTAAATGAGCATGCTGGATTCCTCTGCCCTTCTCAAAATTCCTCTTCCGCTGACTGAGCAGCTTTCCTGACTGCTTCATTAGGGCACGCACCATGAAACAGTATTCACCAGTTTACTCCAGAACATAAAAAGCCAGGCAGCATGCTGGATCATCAACTGTGAGACCAGCTCTGAGCTCAGAGGGACAGATTATTACTGAGAACACCTGTGTTTTCTCTCTTGTATGACCAAACTCTTACCTCAGTTTAAAAAGCAACCGGAAGGATATCTTTTTTCCCTCTTCCCTAACTATTTGTGATTGTCTATTGCCTTATGTCCTGCTGCATTTTTATTGGTCTCTATTAAAGAAAGCTTGGAAATGAAAACGGTTACTTTGGCTGCTTACTCAAGGAGACAAAATGTGGAGCCTAGAGCTTGGCCTGTGTGAGCTTTAATCTTAACTCCAACACAGATTGTCACCATGCCCAAGCACCATACATGCTCAATGTCACAGTTGCAAAGCAGCCCAGGCGGACTTCTGACCCACAGATTCATAAAACTGCAAAACTGTGAACGAACGTATCTGGCAAGCTAGCCAAATACATTCCCAGTTTGGATTATGTTTCAAATTTAACAGGTTGACATTTGCTCATTCTTGAAACAGATTTGAGTATCTGCTCAAATAACATCTACAGCCAGCACAAGAATTTCCCCAAAAGCAGCTCCCCAGTCTGTCTTACCTTCTACTGCCTGGGAATTAGGACAGCATCCAGCCCCGCTGGCACACTGCTCCCGTAGGGAGGATACCAGCCCTTCCAGTTCCTCTAGTCTGCTCAGCAGATCCTTAATGTCTGGGGCAGCTGCACAGCCACAAGCCCGGCGGGGAATGTTAATACGGTGCGTGAAGACAATCTGGTTCTCCTCGTTCAGCGTGTGCTCCTCGTAATTCTTGACGGGCTCAATTTCCGTCTTCAGATCTGCGTCACCACTCGCTGTATCCAGGTCCACCGAGCAAAGGGAGCCAACAGGCAACTTAATGTTGTAGACGTGGTTAAAAACCACAGGCTGATTATCCTCTGGCAAGGTCACGTTGAGTCCAGTCTCCTGCTTCTGCTGGATAAGTCGCTTGAGTCGAGGCTCCTGCTTCTCCCGGATAATTCGCTTGATGAGTCCACCATTGACATACTGGTATAGCAAAGCTAAGATCACACAGGCCAAAACCCGGGTGGGGAGTCCCATTGTGGCGTTTGGTTCCTTTTTAAAGCTGATGGAGTCTTATATATGTTTGGCCTTTGTAATCTGGAGCAGAAATTGGAGAGCCAGTTCAAACCAAGTCCTTTCCTTTCCTGGCACACTTATTCCCTAAAAGAAGAAGGAGCAGTGTAAGGGATGAACTGCAGCCATGCCACCCAACAAAGGCCTATGACACTGAATGCATGCTGGCATCCTTAAAGAACATTCTTGGGTTGGGGTGCTACTCAATGTACCATCTCGCTTCATCCAGGTTGCTGAGCTTGCTCTTACATATTATAACCCTGTTTTCCAGGATCTCAGTGTGAACAAAATGTCACAAGACATGAATCTTGAAGGAAGCTACTATTATTTCCAATTCAGAGCAAGTATAGTGCAATATGGAAGGTTTACCTGCCTCAAGCAGAAGACCAGGGCAAAGAAGCCGGCTGAGCCTCATCTCAACTGAAAACACTACTTTTAGACAGAGGTAGATAAAACAAATATATGTTCTCTTATGATTCAACTCATGTTAAAAGTCTGTATTTCCTTCTCCCATTAGTCCGCTGCTTGAAGGCTACTAAAGGCTGGATCATGTAAGACACTCGAGACATTGTCAAAAGCTATATCAACACTACTAAGCTCATTGCAGTCCTTTTCCATATGCTTTAAATTACTCCAATTGCTTGGGAATGTGAACTCCAGGGCTGGTAGCCCAATAACAAGTTTCACTATGCTGATGGTTTGTCCACAGCATGAATATAAACAGAGCAGGTTGAAGGTTGTGGTGTCAGTGCCTGCATCACAGCTAGCAATACTTTAGCATAGAAAGTGAGACACAACAGAAGATGAGACTCCAACAAGGGAGACACAATGTAAGAAACAGGAATAAATACATGTACACACACACACACAAAAGGGAGAGGAAGAGAAGGAAAGGAAATCCTTTGATTATCTAAGTCCTTCAAGAAAAAAAGAGAAAGCTTTATATCAATACAGGTATAAACCCATCTTTTTAGCAACCAATACACCTTTTCACCAGGCAACATTTCCCATTGTCTGATCCCACATCAGCTACGATACAATAGTTAGCTTATGGTTACCAGCACCTGGCTGGGCTGTACTAGCTCTTCCTGAAACTCATTCTTTTCAATTAGTTCTTCCTCCTTGGCCTGTGCCTGTCCCTTTCAAATTATATGAGCCAGGGGAGCTGAAAGACATCTACTGACTTCCATGCAGAAACGACCCTTCATCATGTAGAGTGAGAACCGAAAGCAGCTAATAGACGACTAAACAAGCACACCTAATAAATATCATCTTAGCATTTGTTTTTCTTTTTACTCCCAAAAAAGCTTGGTTTAATGGTTAGGTCAGCGACTGTGCTTTCACTATCTGTAAGCTAGTGAAATGCCAGTAATAGAGGAAACAGCAATTTATTCTTGAAACACCACTGTTTTGGTGATAATTCATTTGTCAAATGAGAGACTAGCTTCTTCCACCCTTCTGCTTCCCCCAAAGAGATCATTTTTTCCCATGCTATCCCAGCTGCTTTTGTGAAAGAATGACAATAATACATCAGACCCTCTACTGAAGTTAGCATTTTTGTACACAATGTTGAGCTCACAAAGACTGAACTCCACCCCTTTTTATTGGGGAATAAATCAGAAATAAACAAGCAGCCGTAGAAGCTTTTTTCTTTTCATGGAAAGGCATTCAGCTTTAAGCCAATAGAGAATAACAGAGACAGACGCGGTCCAGGTCTCATTTGTGACTCAGGCCAACCCCTAAATTGGGTTGCCAGTTCATGAAACATGTTCAGGACAGCATTTGAAGTGGGATTTTCCTCTCAAGCACTCCCACTTGCTGTTTGCAAGTTGCTTTCCATGCAATGAGATTCCATGCGCTATACACTTTTTGCCCTGAGACAAGGTCATATAGCTAAAATTGGTACCTAACCCACAAGTACTTATTTAACGACAGGCTGCTTGACAGATGCATCACCAATGGAAAATGAAACAAACTGGAAGCAGCTCTGCATCTAATTCTCACTGAATTTCAGTGAAAGTTGAGCATCAGTTTCCTCATGGCTCTTGTAAACCCCAACCCACAAGAATACGGACCTTGCCTGAACTGATAAAATTGATAGTAGTTTTTCTGCTGACTGACGTGAGTTTACATATCATTTTATGCTGGTAAAAACTGCAATTTTTTTTAATATGCCTGGAAAACGAAAAACCTACTTCTCACAAGAGCTGCTGTCACCTTCACTATTGATGAAAGCCACATGAACAGCACTACTTTTGCATTTAGTAGTATCATTGCATTAGTCTCAGCCAAACCTCTCAGCCTACAGGTGATACTGGAAGACTTCATGTATCTTGGCTTACATTCTTCTGGAGTTCATGAAGAAGCATTATGGTGGTCTAGAAGAAGCATTCCTCAGTGTCTGTTCTGTGACCTCTGAGTTTTGACACCTAGTGTGATATCTGAGCTAATTCAGATCATGATTAGCTGAGCTCCACTCCTAGATCTGAGATCTACAAAACAAGACACCTTCATACAATTATTTATACATTAGCCATGGTTTTGGCTGGAAGAACAAAGATGACATCCTTCTCTCCAACTCCCATTCCTCAAACATACCTAAACAACAGCTCAGGCCACAATGGACCACCCAGGAGCAGGCCTTTCTAGAGAGGAATGGAAGCCAAGTAACTGTCAGACTCTGTTGTTCCTTCATTTTTCCCCATCTCCTTCCCTTCAGAAAGGTTCATGTAGATTGTACTTTAAACCTGCCTCTTGGAGACATCCTCTCTATATTTTCTTTGCAGACATCAGCTGCTGGATTACTTATAGGCACCTGAAAGTCTTGCAGCAAGAGTTTTCAAAAGAAGATGACCCTTATCGTGAGTTTGGCCTTGCTGTAACGCACATAAAAAGAGCTGGGTGATGTTTGTAGCATAATTGTCAGATATGTTGAGGCTTGTATGACCAAGAATGGGTCCATTTTTTACAAGCAGTTTGTCTAATATGGAATATTACTCATCCTAATGAACTGTGCCCCTCATGTCTTCCTGCCATCCTGACTACAACACAACTGCTTCAAAAAACTCAGCAATGATTATGTGGTTGGTCTCAATCTGATCACCGGCATCTTCCCACAGCCATCACCCTCATGGGGCAAGTTAACTTTTACCTTTCTCCTGTTCCCTTAGGCACAACCACTATATAAATAATAACAAAGGTGCTGTGGCTTCTCACACATCTTAAATTTCCTTGATCAGGAGTGGCTTCCTGCAGGACTGAGTCTGCAGTCCTGTCAATGCATTGTGTACTGGCACCAGTTGAAAAACACGTCCAAGAGTGCGTATCTCAGAGCCTGCTGTGCACGTCTTTGCTTCCAGGAACCCTTAGGCAGCCTTACCCATCTCAGTACATCTTGTGCAGGTATAGGCTGAGTGATGAAACCTCGGATCACTAACACCAGATGCACCAGCTATCATTGTAAGAGTACTATTTTTTTTTTTTTAAATTGTGCAAGATCTTTAGAGCACATAAACTTAACACATGATGTATGTGAATTTATTGGTCTATGTGGCCAGGATAGAGATGTCAGTCTTTCTCTGATAAATGTGCTGTCCATATCAATGCAACATGGGAAGAGGGCACTTGGCAACAGCTTAGCCACCATGGCAGTAATGGTGTTGAAAATTTGGAATGTCAGCAAGGAGCATTTGGTTCAAGTCAGAAGAGCATGAAGAAAATACACATTTTTTCATCCCAGCCACAGGCTCAACTTGCTGTCTCCTCTCTACTCCTCAGTCTTGGCTGGCTCAGAGCATGTTACTATTCACTTTAGAGTTTCTTTGGCCTATTAAAAAATTAGAGACAATTAATTGAGACGCTAATCATGGCATCTATGCAGTACCAGCTGATAGAGAAAGAGATTTAGGAAAAAAATTTCCTTGTCTTATATAAACACTAACTGTAAAGAGTTAGATGTCATACAAAGAGGAGAAAAAAGACCATTTCTAGAAAACACTCCTTGAGGTCCTGATCACCAGCTAGAAATACTAGTAATGCTCTTAATAATATGTGGTAGAAGTAAAATGGACTGTCAATAACACAAAGGAAAGGAACAATTTTCATTTCTACTGTGGCCCTTTCATCTGAGGACCTGAAAGCACATCAGTCTGGCTGTCAAAAGCTGAAAAAATGTTAGAGTTATTGTTTTGTTTAGACATTCCACTCCCCCCGCCCCCCC